ACATCATATTACATGATATTACATCATGAGATTAAAAACTTGAGGCCTGCTAACTTTCCAAATCGGTTGTCACATCATAGTTCCATGCCTACGGCTGAGATGTTCCACAATGATGTTTACTCCAACACGACCCAACTGGGGCTACACGCAGATTCAGCCGGTGCAATTGCCTTGGCCAAGCAAAAGCATCTATATAAATACATCTAAAAACTGCTGCAGGCCCACACAGGACGGGAATCTTCCCACCAAAAAACACTTACAAGAGTTTTCGATGAAATTAAATTCAACCTTCTTCATCGTTCTTCTATGTTCTTGCCTAAAGCCCTGCAAACCGTCATCCCTTGGTGAACTGGGGCGGCGAGCGCTTTCAGGCGCTACAGCAGCAGCATCCGTTGTGACCTGGATCAAAATACATGCAAATACGAAGGAATGGTTAATCAAACTGGAGTGATTAACATGATTGAATATTAATATGAGTGAGACTGACATAGCAAGATTTAAACTGGATTCAACAGGCATCTCACTATGCATTGAAACTCATCCCACCTGTCCACATCTATGTCCTATAAAATCCCTGAATACAACCCCCAAAAATGCATATTACATCATATTACATCATATTACATCATGAGATTAAAAACTTGAGGCCTGCTAACTTTCCAAATCGGTTGTCACATCATAATTCCATGCCTACGGCTGAGATGTTCCACAATGATGTTTACTCCAACACGACCCAACTGGGGCTACACGCAGATTCAGCCGGTGCAATTGCCTTGGCCAAGCAAAAGCATCTATATAACTACATCTAAAAACTGCTGCAGGCCCACACAGGACAGGAATCTTCCCACCAAAAAACACTTACAAGAGTTTTCGATGAAATTAAATTCAACCTTCTTCATCGTTCTTCTATGTTCTTGCCTAAAGCCCTGCAAACCGTCATCCCTTGGTGAACTGGGGCGGCGAGCGCTTTCAGGCGCTACAGCAGCAGCATCCGTTGTGACCTGGATCAAAATACATGCAAATACGAAGGAATGGTTAATCAAACTGGAGGTGATTAACATGATTGAATATTAATATGAATGAGACTGACATAGCAAGATTTAAACTGGATTCAACAGGCATCTCACTATTCATTGAAACTCATCCCACCTCTCCACATCTCTGTCCTATAAAATGTCTGAAGCCCTGCTCACAAACTGCATATTTCAAACCATTTCTTAAAATTTCAAAACTATCTATTCTGATCCAGTGGCCTCTGCTTCAGAAGTCTCTGGAAGATCAGGAGGTTCAAGAATGGGCTGGCACACGATGTCGCACGAGGGAAAACAAAAATAAAATAAAACCATATAAAACCTGGAAATTTGATGAAATTTGATGAAAATTGAACAAACATCCAACAACAAAACCAGCTCTCACAGAAGCTATGGCCTGCTTGAGCTTTTTCTTTGTGCGGGAAATCTCATGAGTGAAATGCCATTGCCCCCTAGGCCGCTGCTTCAAACAAATAGATCAGAGGCAAATAGCAAGCAAATCGATGCTAATAGTATCAAACTGTCAGATATGAAATCCAAGCGTCTCTTCCCAGTACACATAATGCCAGGAAGGTCTGCCCGAATACATGTTGCAGCGGCTGACTCAGTGACCAGTTGGCATAACATGGCATAACCATGTTCGAAGACATCTGAAACCAAGAAAGTTATTGACATCCATTGGCCAATATTGACAACACAATGAAAATCTGACCCTTTGTGCGCACTGTGATTCCAGCCCAGTGACGCCAAACACCTCTCGCTGAATCCCATTCAGGAGGAGCCATTTGCTCGACACACATCCCTATCCCCTTAGTTCCACACATTCCTGCACTTGAGATCACTTGAGTACGAATGTCAAGCGCTCAGCATATGTTAAAAACAATTTGAAACAAATGATATTAAATGCCTGGCTACACAGAATTGGGGACACCCCGGCGGCGGGCCACGACGAACGGGACACCGCGGCATAGCGATGGAAGACACTGCGTCAAAATGACACTTGTTGCACTGTTTGAGCCATGGAAAGGACACAATAGATTCTTCAAATTCCGCAATCCCTGATTTTGTAAACTGTCCTGCCCCCACATTTCAGTGCCCAAAACCTGCACACATGGCGGGTAGCAAACAAGCATTATATCTGTCAACCCTTCATTGGAAGGTTAACTACTCTTAAAAGAATACATGTTAAAGTATAGTTTTAGAGGACGTCAGCAATATGCATTTTATAGACAGATATCTTTAGAATTCAAAAAAAAAACGTCCCTGTTCAGGACACTGCCTGTTCGGCAGACTAGTTACGGTTTCATCCTGGTCCTGGCTGTAGTATGTATTTTCCAGGACAACATCCTAATATACATCTGTAGCAATTTACATCTCTGTAGTATTTATCTACTTTTCTATCTATCTATCTATGTATATATCTGTACCTCCAAGGACAAAGTCCTGGTATATATATATATATGTGTATAACTCCAAGGACAAAGTCCTGGACTACATATGTTTCCTATTCAAAAAAAAACGTCCCTGTTCAGGACACTGCCTGTTCGGCAGACTAGTTACCGTTTCATCCTGGTCCTGGCTATAGTATGTATTTTCAAGGACAACATCCTAATATACATCTGTAGCAATTTACATCTCTGTAGTATTTATCTACTTTTCTATCTATCTATCTATGTATATATCTGTACCTCCAAGGACAAAGTCCTGGTGTATATATATATATGTGTATAACTCCGAGGACAAAGTCCTGGACTACATATGTTTCCTATTCAAAAAAACGTCCCTGTTCAGGACACTGCCTGTTCGGCAGACTAGTTACGGTTTCCTCTTGGTCCTGGCTATAGTATTTATTTTCAAGGACAACATCCTAGTATACATCTGTAGCAATTTACATATCTGTAGTATTTAACTACTTATATATCTATCTATCTATCTATATATATATATATATCTGTACCTCCAAGGACAAAGTCCTGGTATATATATATATAACTCCAAGGACAAAGTCCTGGACTACATATGTTTCCTATTCAAAAAAACGTCCCTGTTCAGGACACTGCCTGTTCGGCAGACTAGTTACTGTTTCGTCCTGGTCCTGGCTATAATCTTTATTTTCAAGAACAACATCCTAGTATACATCTGTTGTAATTTACATATCTGTAGTATTTAACTACTTATATATCTATGTATATATATATATACATACATACACCCTACATTACATTACATTGCATTACATTACCTTCCAATGGAATACAATGACAGTACATTTACATTACACCAAATTACACTACATAACTTTACATTGCAAGGTGCCCAAAACCTGCACACATGGCGGGTAGCAAACAAGCATTATATCTGTCAACCCTTCATTGGAAGGTTAACTACTCTTAAAAGAATACATGTTAAAGTATAGTTTTAGAGGACGTCAGCAATATGCATTTTATAGACAGATATCTTTAGAATTCAAAAAAAAACGTCCCTGTTCAGGACACTGCCTGTTCGGCAGACTAGTTACGGTTTCATCCTGGTCCTGGCTATAGTATGTATTTTCCAGGACAACATCCTAATATACATCTGTAGCAATTTACATCTCTGTAGTATTTATCTACTTTTCTATCTATCTATCTATGTATATATCTGTACCTCCAAGGACAAAGTCCTGGTATATATATATATGTGTATAACTCCAAGGACAAAGTCCTGGACTACATATGTTTCTTAAAGAGTTACATCTCTTAAAAGTTTTCTTTCGAGTTTCTTTAAGGTTTCTGTCGAATTTCATGCAGGGTTTGCTTTAAGAATTCTTTCAGGTCTTCCGGGGTCGGCGGCAGGGGCGGCAGCCCTTAAATATCTGTCAACCCTTCATTGGAAGGTTAACTACTCTTAAAAGAATACATGTTAAAGTATAGTTTTAGAGGACGTCAGCAATATGCATTTTATAGACAGATATCTTTAGAATTCTTTAGATATCTATGCAAAGTTATCCACTGTTTAAAAAAACAAATCAAAATATGGCTTTAGATAACCCAACAACATAGATTTTATAGACAGGTATCTGTGGATGGTTCTCCATTATTGAGTCTTACATTCTTCAAAACATGAATGTCAAGGAGTCACAATCTATCATTTTATAGACACAAATCTGGGAACATAAAGTCTCTATAAAATCTAAAGTCTGACCCCCAGGCGGCCAAGGATAAAACCTGATTTCTCTATAAAATGAGAGCATGACCCCCCACTTGGGGACTGAATAAAACGTTTTATCCCTAACCATGACCCTCAGCATTTTATTCTGGGATATGTTAACGGGTATTATATATATATATTTGCAGTACAGTACAGTATATATTCTAAGTGCACCACCGCCACCATAATATATATTGAAATTACAGTAGTACAATACTACACCGCAACCATAATATGTATTGAAATTACAGTAGTACAGTACTATGCAGTAACCGTTGTTTGCCCGGAGAGCGCATTGCTCTCACCACCGGCACCGGCGACAGTGTTCTTGACCCGTTGTTCCTGGCGATGCTCGTCAGCAGGTTGTACTCTTGGAATGTTATTTTGGTAGGGATTCGACATGTTGAATTTTGAAGTACTGTACAGTACAGTATAATGTGTTCTGCTTCTATTTCGAAAAAGAACAACTGCAGTACAACACAATACAATGTCCAGCATTTGTGAATAAGCACCAGTGTTGAACCTTGAGGAGCGTTTCAAGATCTTGTCCGTCATTGTATTGCAACCCAACACCAGGACATTCAATCCTGGCCTTTGCGATCGTGTTTGCTTTTGGCCTCAGAAGGCTCTGCGGGTGACTTCACAACCCATGGATCATTGAAGAGTACTGCGCAGATTCTTTGATATTGCTGTAGTGTGTCTATGCAGTTAGAATATGGACGATTAGTGTTTTACTTCAGAATCTCCCTCCCACTTGGCTGTGATTTTATCCGACTCAACGGCAAAGATGCCCTCTACAGTACTGTACTGCGCAGCAGCAGTATTGCACCGCTAAACTACGCTCTGAGACACTGTCCTGTACTATGCCATGCTGCCAGCAACAAATCTCAATCCTTTCATTGAAGCACCTCGAAACTACCATCACTTGGTTCCACATCTTCTCCCTGATGAGCTGTGTGGGAGCAAGCTGCCTGGCCCCGGGCCACAGCACCTCCACGTGCATATCCTGTGTTGGGAGTCAGGTGGATACGATGCAAGTGCTGAGAAATCTCGTTCACATTTGGCTGAGAAGTTGCATCTTGCTGCTCTTGCTCCTCTGCCGTGGTGTGCTGGGTCTTGCGTTTGAAGAAGGTGAACCCTGTCCACTGCCCCATGTTCTTCCACATTGCTCGAGATTCACGGGTAGGAGGTACATTCCATTTGTCCCCACGAACGACTGAGTCATCCCTACCAGTGTAGAAGCAAACTGTTACCCTCTCAGCGCACAATGATTCGGAACCTTCCCCCTGCAAAGGAAATGATTCATGTAGAGGCTGGAATGGCTGGGTTCTGGATGCCCCATGCACCCTGACCACCCATTGATCTAGTACAGTCCAGTAGTCTCGGTTGGTAGTGGGCTTTTCCATAAAGGTTGGCTTCTCCCATGGCACAGTGACAACATCTTGAAGCAAAGACATGCGTAGAGTGCTTAGAAACACAAGAGTCAGAACGCCTTGAGCCACCCACAGCTACTGTGTTGAAGTTGTAGTTCTAGAGTTATGCGCAAATGCATGTGTTGCAACACCGATGCATTCACCAGAACAGTATGCAACAACATACGCTTCAAGAAGTTCATTTACATTACAGTACAGTACAGTATTGTACAATACACTACACCGGCAAACACTGCCCGCAACATGTTCCACCCGCTTGCTTGCAAGGTGCTGTTGATGAAGCGTCTGACCATGAAGCTTGTCTTTTGGGTCCTGTCCAGCGGCTCACCAATGGATGGGATGCAGTAAGAAAATGAGAACCACTGTGTTACAGCCAACGTTTTGGATCTGCAATGTAGTACAGTACATTACTGTACAGTACAGTACGGTATTCTGTAAGGATACAATGCATTACTTTACAGTACTGTACAGTACTGGCAATAATAGCGAATACAGTGCAGTACGCTTTACAACGGGAAAGGCAGTCCTCTGTTTGCGGATTGTGTGAGGCAGGCTGCAGCTTGTCCATTGGATCCTGCCCAATGGGAGACGGTTGATAGTATTGATCCATATTCTAAGTGCATGGTGGTTGCACAATTTACAAGAAAAAACATAAAGAAATCATAAGAAATCTACCTTTGAATCTTTGAGCGTACTTTGTCGCTAAATGTAACTACAGTACAGTACTGTAGAGTTTTATCAGCATGTGCTGCACAGTACTGTACAGTACTTAGGACCAGCGGTCCTCTGTCTGCGAGTTGTCCAGAAGATGTCGAAGCTCGTCTTCTGGGTCCTGTGCAGCAGGAGGCAGGAAATCGGAGAACGGTACTGTACTGTACTGTAAGAAAACTTGAATCATTACAGTAGCAACAGTGCTCAATGGGAGACGGTTGATAGTATTGATCCATATTCTAAGTGCATGGTGGTTGCACAATTTACAAGAAAAAACATAAAGAAATCATAAGAAATCTACCTTTGAATCTTTGAGCGTACTTTGTCGCTAAATGTAACTACAGTACAGTACTGTAGAGTTTTATCAGCATGTGCTGCACAGTACTGTACAGTACTTAGGACCAGCGGTCCTCTGTCTGCGAGTTGTCCAGAAGATGTCGAAGCTCGTCTTCTGGGTCCTGTGCAGCAGGAGGCAGGAAATCGGAGAACGGTACTGTACTGTACTGTAAGAAAACTTGAATCATTACAGTAGCAACAGTGCTTCTGTTACAAGCCGTACTGTAGTGAACTACTGTATATTTTTGCAGCAGCAATGCTGTTTCCCTTCGTGATCCAACAACATGACATATGGCCAACATGGAGTCCTCTGTCGATGGAAGGCAAAGACGTTGGGATCGGGTGTTGGAGGCACTATTGCGCAGATGTCGTGCTGCGAGATGCAACTTGAAGATGCACCACAACCCAATACAGTACAGTACAGTACAGTAACCATATACAGTACAGTACTGTAGAGTACAGCATGTATTACAGTAAGTACTGTATGCAGTACAGTACAGTACAGTACAGTGCAGTATTGTCACATACACAGTACCGTAGATCATATTAGCAATCGGTTTTGGTAACACCACACCTTGTCTTCAATCGTGCAACGAATAGATATTCCCAAAGATTGCCCAAGCCAGCTAAGTTCGCTCACATCCACCGACAACGCTTGTTGTGCACACAGAGCTTGTTCCATGATGACTGGATCTGTTTCAGGTGTTGATTGCAAAGCGAGTTCTCTCAAAGTGTTGGCAGCATTTGATTCTGCTCGTTCTTGCCGGCGGTTCACAGCAATACCACCTGAATTTCTAGACACCTGTGTCCATGAAGACAATGTTGCAGTTCCCATGATGCAGTGATACATGCACAAGCCATCTGCTGGTGCAGGAATGCGCTTGAAAGGGATCTGGCCCTGTTTCTGAGCTTGAGTGATGTGATCCTCAACCGCAGCACGCACTTCTTGTTGAAGAGCATTCAACGCATGAGCCGCCACCTGAGGCGAATACATCACAGTACAGTACAGTATATACAGTGATAATATATAGTAAGTAAAGTATTGTATGACTGTATGGTATACCTGTACGACTGGCACACCATGTTGATCCATATTCTAACTGCATGATTGTTGCAAGGTTTAGATAAGGAGTTTTAAAGAAACCAATCTTTGGGCAAATCCCGTACCTCGTCATCAAATGTAACTCCAATTCTGTCAGCATGTACGAATCGAATTTTTTCATTCTTCTTCCTTGTACTTGATTGACAACCCACTCTCACCTGGGTCCAAACAAGACCTGACGTTGCATCACCTTGACGCTCAGCCAGCCAAGCAAGATTGCTGATCCCATCCGAAATACTGATCAACACCAAAGTCTTTTGGGAGGTTGGCAAACTAAGTATGGAATCTGCATACTGGCCGGGGTCAGAGATAGCCCCAAAGATTGCCAACCCCAACGGTTCATGCTCAAGTTGTTTCCAGTAGTCCAGAACATGCTTTGATTTGACTACGGTTGCCAAATCATCTGATACCACCACACTCACCGCATGTTTGTCACTACCAGCAAGAACAGCTATAGTATTTGTTCGAGGCCTCATTCCGCCCAATCTTCGAAGTATGCCCTTGTACACTACAATGCTGCTATCCGTATATTCTTCACTCTGTTGGGTTGGCGCTAGGAATTCAGCAGTAATGTCTTTGGCATCTGACATGGGAACACTTGAGCCTGCACTGGGTTTGCTACCGTTTGGATCAAGGTTGGAAATGATCTGAGGAAGCTCTGATCCTTGCGATTCTGCCAGGGACTGCAAAGCCTTTTGAGTTTGCAAAGCTTCCTTGGTAGTTGCAGCAATCTGCTTGAAGGATTTGTCCACTTTGCCGTCCTGACAGGGCACTCAAATACGTTGCCGCATAGTATGCAATACCGCAGTAGTATTACCAAAACCTTTACAGTACAGTACAGTACAGTGGTTGGGTCGATCGTAATTTTGTCTGTCAATCTCTCCTTTTCAGCTAGTGCCATTGATTTCAGCCAATCAACCGCTGGTGCAATTCCGGCAAAAGTCTTCTCTACAGCATGCGATTTACCTTGAAAGGTAGCCTTGTACGTGCCACTCTCATGCAGGATTGCCATGCCGGAAGTGTCGACACCCTTGGTCAAATGCTTGAACACTGAGTCTAGGATCTTAACTTCCATTGAAGGTACCTTTCCAGCACAAAGCCTTCGGGTCAATGCATCCTTTTGACTTGATACTGTTGCATGTTGTTTCAAGTACTTGTCATCACACCCTGCAGATTTCAAAAGTTCACGTCTATCATTGGGTTTGCGCTTCACACCATCAAACAAAAGCAACGTAGCCCATGCTTGCTTCTGGAATGCTTCACATGCAAGCAATGCAGATTCTCCGGAACCAAAGGGTTTGAAATCAAACTTTCTGGTCTCTGAACCGATGGTGCATTTCACATGATGCTTGAAGATGGTAATAGACTTACTTGAAGAAACCAATGGTGTCGGCTTGGCATCATCTTGCTGTGCTTCCTGATCAGAATCAGATTCCGCTGGTGGTTCACATGGACCTGGAAGTGGTGGCTCTCAAGCGGGTGTCTCCACATGTTTCTGTCGATCTTGAGCTACTTGTTGGGCTGAGAAGTGAGCCTTAGGCTAAACCAACCAAACCATTCCCCCGGTCATATTCGGTGAGAAAACATATGATTCAGACTGCAGTTAGAATACGGTTTTGAATCAAGGAACTCCCAGAAGTTACAAAGCATCTTTACCTTGATGTGACTATTGTACTGTACAGGTTGCCAAACATACGGGAAGTCAACAATCCATAAACCAACCACTCCACATCAATTCAATCCCTGTCATATTTTGTGAGAAACCACATGGTTCAGACTGCAGTTAGAATACGGGTTCTAGTCAAGTAACTGATGCTGCAACCTGCATAAGTTGCAAATCATAAGCTCGTCGTTTATCCGGAATACTCAACACTTGGAAAGCTTGAGCAAGTTTGCTCAGCCTGAAGGGGTCCTGCGTGGCACTCTTGAGTGCCGTCCCATACCCCTCCTTGATGGTTTCCACAGGAATTGCCGAGAGAGATAGCACGCGTTGTATAGGCTCCACGCCTGTCCCTACAGGCGACACACCTAAAAGCGCGTAGAAATCTTCAGAGGACGCATCCGCCATGTTGAAGTCAAGGACTTCAAAAGCACCCCAATCAATAAAATGTAACTACTGTGTTGTATCTTTTGCAGTACCGTATTCTTACAACTCCTGTGTGGTTTTTCTGCAGATAGAATACGCCGACATTACATGTCTTGAAGTATGGTACAGTACATTATCTGGAAGTAAATGTTGTCTCCAGCAATTGAATCAACCAAATGTGATTATATCACATTCTTGCAACACTTGTGGTCATTTCCTGCAGTTAGAATACAGGTAAACGTATCATTCGGTCTTGCTTCATTGAAGTCCGGAGCATGATCTTTGCGGCGCGACGAACATGATATTGGTTCTTCTGACATCATTGACCATATTCTAAGTGCATGTGCCCATATTCTAAGACCAAGGTTTTCGGCCTAGGTCCAAATACCCTATACCCCGAAGAACGGCTTAGGTCAGCTAAGCAAATCTTAAGGTTTTATATTCTAACTGTTGGTCCGTCATTGTACATACATTACATTGCATTGCATTACATTACATTGCATGCATACATACATCCATCCATGCATGCGTGCATGGATACATACACAAATCCATCCATCCATACATACATACATACCAACATTACATACATACATACATACATTACATACATTACATTACATTACTTTACATTACATTACATTTCGTTAGAGTACGTTACATTACGTTACACTACATTACATTAACATACACACATAAATACATTACATACATTACATACATTACTTACATTACATTCATTACATTACATTCATTACATACATTACATACATTACATACATTACATACATTACATACATTACATACATTACATACATTACATACATTACATACATTACATACATTACATACATTGCATACATTGCATACATTGCATACATTGCATACATTGCATACATTCCATACATTCCATACATTACATACATTACATACATTACATACATTACATACATTACATACATTACATACATTACATACATTACATACATTACATACATTACATACATTACATACATTACATACATTACATACATTACATACATTACATGCATTACATGCATTACATGCATTACATGCATTACATACATTACATACATTACATACATTACATACATTACATACATTACATACATTACATACATTACATACTTTACATACATTACATACATTACATACATTACATACATTACATACATTACATACATTACATACATTACATACATTACATACATTACATGCATTACATGCATTACATCCATTACATACATTACATACATTACATACATTACATACATTACATACATTACATGCATTACATGCATTACATGCATTACATGCATTACATACATTACATACATTACATACATTACATACATTACATACATTACATACATTACTTACATTACATACATTACATACATTACTTACATTACATACATTACATACATTACATACATTACATACATTACATACATTACATACATTACATACATTACATACATTACATACATTACATACATTACATACACATACATACACATACATACACATACATACACATACATACACATACATACACATACATACACATACATACACATACATACACATACATACACATACATACACATACATACACATACATACACATACATACACATACAACACACAGATACACCACACTACCCACCCTACACAACACATACACACACATACACACACATACACACCATACACACACTACACACACATACACACACATACACACACATCCACACATACACACACATTACACCACATACACACACATACACACACATACACACACATACACACACATACACACACATACACACACATACACACACATACACACACATACATACACACACACATACATACATACATACATACATACATTACATTACATTACATTACATTACATTACATTACATACATACATACATACATAACACATACATACATTACATTACATTTCATTACATTGCATTGCATTACATTACATTACATTACATCACATTACATACATTACATACATACATTACATTAAAAAAATATATACTATATATTAAGCTAAGTCATAAGCTCACAACTGTGTGACTGAGTTGGCCAATCAGCTAATCAAGAGAGTGGGGAGTCCTTGCGCAAGTTGGTGACTTTGCCAACCAGGTGGTGACAGAGTGTTTGTGTGTTTGTGTGTCTGTTGGCGGGGTTGTGCCTGGGCCGGTCACTGGTGACCTAATCGTTGCTTCATTTCATGCTGCGGGATTTTGCAGGCGCTACCGTGCAAGCTACGATGTGCGTTTTCAACACTTTCTTGGATCACCCATGCCCAGGTGCAGGTGCCTCACTGTTTTGCCTTCCATACCCCGCGCCACGATCGAAACTCCAAAAGTGACTCGCTTCTTTGCAGAAGAAGCTGTGGAGCACATGAAAACTGACTATGACTCGCTATGAGAACTGAGGCGCTGGAGCACCGAGAGATACTGAGGCGTTGTCTCGTCCTTTTTGCCGGAGACTGCCTCCAATTAGAAAAACTTGGAGCCTGGCGGCCCTGTCCCTAACAGCCTGAACAAAGAAAAAAGTTGAGCAGCTATCCACTGTTCCACTTATTTTTGTTCTACTGATTCTACTCCTGCACGTACCTGGTCAGGGACAGGCCTGCCGTAGCAATGTCAACATGCCAGTCTCAGCATGCACATTTCAAAATGCTGAGAGCATTCTCTCAACTGCAGGCATTATGGATAGTGTCCTTCTAGATCTACTATCCGGATGGAGAAAAGGGCATCTGAACGTCAAGGCTCAAGACTAAGCAAGACCAACAGGGTTGTGGCCTGGTGTGTCTTTGCACATTCTGCAGTGACCTACAGTAGCCTAGACTTCAATCCTTCAAACCTTCAATATCCTTCAGCTTGGTTTCCGTCCGCGCCCTTACCGACTTGCCGTGGCCCGCGGACTTGAACTGAACACAGTACAAGGCAGCACACCCAAATTTAAAGTGACTTTAGCACAGTGGCAGAATTCACTACAATACCAATGACGCTACGATCCGAATCGGTCTGAAAATGTGCAAGGTGACCACAACACAAACAACCCGGTGGGTGGGAAACCGCGCTACTGTAGCGGTTGAGCACGCTTTGAAAATTACACCACCGTAGGCCCCAAACAGTGGGTGGATTCAAGAAGTGATTTGGGGAGCAGGGTCAAACAGATGAAATAGCAGCGACAGGAATGGTGAAAATGTCTGCAATAAGTGCCGGAGACCACTTTATATACGTTTATTTTGTTCGGCTTCTTTTGCTTGTTGCAGCGCTAGATGCCAGAAAACGATGAAGGAAACATCCGACGGGTGTGCAACTATTTGGATCCAAACGCGCGAATCAAGCAGCACAGGACTGTCAAATTGGATGTGTCGAAAACATCGAAGGATGAAAGTGATAGATTACATCATTCTCTATCCCGGTGCTCTGTGAATTTCAGAGCCTGCGCAACTCTCGGCGTGCGATAACTTTAGCTGGCAGACTTGGGAGAGACAAGCTGGGAGACAAGCTGGGAGACAAGCTGGGAGACAAGGGAGACAAGGCCTCGGGAAGACGGACACACCATCCAACACACCGAAACAAGAAGGAAGACAAGCTGGGAGATAATCTGGGAGACAAGCTGGAAGACAAGCTGGAAGACAAGCTGGGAGACAAGGGAGACAAGACCTCGGGAAGGTGGGCACACCATCCAACAAAGGGAAACAAGAAAACAAACCGGTACACAAGCTGGGAAACAAGCGAGACAAGGGCTCGGGAAGGTGGACAAACCATCCAACAAAGGGAAACAAGAAGGGAGACAATGGGAGACAAGGGGGAAGGCGGACACACCATCCAACAGTTGGAAACAAGAAGGGAGACAAGCTGAGAGACAAGCTGGGAGGACACACCATCCAACACACCGAAACAAGAAGGAAGACAAGCTGGGAGATAATCTGGGAGACAAGCTGAAAGACAAGCTGGGAGACAAGCTGGGAGACAAGGGAGACAAGACCTCGGGAAGGTGGGCACCCCATCCAACAAAGGGAAACAAGAAAACAAACTGGTACACAAGCTGGGAGACAAGCGGGACAAGGGCTCGGGAAGGCGGACAAACCATCCAACAAAGGAAACAAGAAGCGAGACAATGGGAGACAAGGGGGAAGGCGGACACACCATCCAACAAAGGGAAACAAGAAGGGAGACAAGCTGGGAGACAAGGGAGACAAGGCCTCGGGAAGGCGGATACACCACCCAAAAAAGGGAAACAAGAATGGAAACAAGCTCGGAGACAAGCTGGAAAGGGAGGCAAGGGAAACAAGGCCTCGGGAAGGCGGACACCAAAGGGAAACAAGAAGGAAGACAACCTGAAAAGCTTGGGGACCAGCTGGGAGGCAAGCTGGGAGACCAACTGGGCTCGGAGACAAGCTGGCAGACAAGGGAGACAAGGCCTCGGGAAGACACACCATCCAACAAAGGGAAACAAGAAGGGAGACAATGGGAGACAAGGGGAGACAAGGGGGAAGGCGGACACACCATCCAACAAAAGGAAACAAGCAGGGACACAATGGGAGACAAGACCTTCGGAAGGCGGAGACACCATCCAACACAGGCACACATGTGGGGAAACAATTGGCGAAAATAGGAGACAAGGGGAGACAAGACCTCGGGAAGGCGGCCACGCCATCCAACACAGGCACACATGTGGCGAGACAAGGGATAAGACCTCACCTCAGGAAGGCGAGCACACCTTCCACCACAGCCACACATGTGCGGAGACAATGGGACACAATGGGAGACAAGGAGAGACGAGGGAAGACAAGGGGAGACAAGACCTCGGGAAGGCGGAAATACCATCCAACAAAGGGAGACAAGAAGGAAGACAATGCCAGACAAGACCTCCGGAAGGCGGACACACCATCCAACAAAAGAAAACAAGAAGGGAGACAATGGCGAAACAAGACCTCAAAAAGGCGGGCACATCACCCAACACATGCACGCATGTGGGAGACAAGAGGAGACGGGAATGCGGACCGACACAGGCACACCTTGGGAAGGCGAACACACCATCCAACACAGGCACACGTATGCGGGGAGACAATGAGGAGACAAGACCTTGGGAAGGCGAACACATTCCAACACAGGAATACATCTGCCACAATGGGAGACAATGGGACAAAAGGGGAGACAAGGGGAGACAAGACTTCGGGAAGGCGGACACACCATCCAACACAGGCACACATATGTGAGGAGACAATGGGAGACAAGGGGAGACAAGACTTCGGGAAGGCGGACACACCATCCAACACAGGCACACATATGTGAGGAGACAATGGGAGACAAGGGGAGACAAGACCTCGGGAAGGCCGACACACCATTCCACAAAGGCACACATGTGGGGAGACAATGGGAGACAAGGAGAGACAAAAGGGGAGACAAGACTTCGGGAAGGCGAACACACCATCCAACACCGAGACGGACACCTTAAGAAAGCATTATATAAGAACCCCTAACAGCACACTGTTTGGGGAAAAAAGTCTTGGCGCTGTGGCGCCGTGCGCATTTTTGGATCAAATTCACCATAAATTTTGCCGGGCAAAATCAAGTCATTTTGAAAGGATGACCTGGTATTTACACGGCTTTGAGCCCTGGGATTATGGACGCTTTTTACTTCTGCTATAGGCGTCTCAATTTTCCAAGCGTTTGCTTAGTGCCCCGTGAGACTCATGAAGCCTTTACAATTTCCATGGTGCCATCGCCACTGCCAAATTCAAATTCCCTGAAGCAACTGAAATTTTTTGCGTGTGCCCCAAGAAGCTGACACTGCACCTTTGGACGTTTTCCACATACCATCGATACCACTGGTGTGCACAAGCAATGTACCCCATGTCTTTCTCTTCTTGGTGCAAAAGATGCCTTTACTATGATTGCAAGCTTCAGCTTCAGAGGCGAGTTTCGGGTAACATGGGGGACCGTCTGTCACCAAGATGCTTTTGCACACCCACCCCACCCCACCCACCCAAACCCTAAGCCAAGACGTAGCTGCAGCGTAGCATCACGTGTGTACGCAAGGCACATGAACGTCACTACCCCACCCCACCCCCCAAACCCCAAGCCATGACGTAGCCGCAGCGTAGCATCACATGTACGCAAGCAACATGAACGTGATTACCCCACCCCACCCCACCCAAACCCCTAAGCCAAGACGTAGCTGCAGTGTAGGGCAGGCTTTCTTTGCCACGTAATTATTCGTTCATTTTTTGGCTCCGATTTTTTTTCTTAGCCACGAACGCAAACTTAGCTATATACGTAAGACTTTTACCCACACACTCTCATTTTTTACTTCAAAACAAAAAAAAACACATTACACAGTTTTTTCTTACTTCCTTTTCTTTTTTCTTTAAAACCTAAAAACCATTACACAGTTTTTTTACTTCCTTTTCTTTTTTCTTTAAAACCTAAAAACCATTACACGTTTTTTTTACTTTCTTTTATTTTTCTTCAAAACCTAAAAATCATTACACAGGCTACGTCAGCAAGAACCAGTTCTTGAAGACTACATTAAGTTGCTTTCACTGGTGCATTCAAGATCATTCAAGATCATTCAAGTCCTTGCAGGCTAGCAAGAAAGGGATTGCAAAGCAAGCTTCGCCCATCACTGGGTTACAGTGAAGGTGGCCAAAGGAATTCTATCGACACGAGGAACAGGTTGACAAATATCAGACCCAAAACGGTAAATGACAAAATGTCGGTCTCGTGTACAACCCCCCCGGGAACAAATAGGATTTCAGGCCCCCCTCTGGATTAATTGATCGAACATTGGAAAACTCTGCTTCTTTTGGATTGCTAACCAACACATCCTACATTAAGTTCACAAATGTAGGCCCCGTGCGTACTTTGGCTTTTCGGACAAAATGTCCAATCGAAAAATGTATTTCGCTCAGCAATTCAAGCGCGGCTCCATGATTGGTCACAAATGCTGCAAGAATCTGCGGGGTGCCTTTGCAGGCAGGAGGGTTCCCAGAATCTGAGCAAGGCACGTGGCATTCCAGCTTAAAGACTTATGATTGCCACTGACAATGTGGGCTCCAGATAAGTAGAAATTGGTAGGATATTAATGAATGTGTTTGAATATGCACAATGCACCAAGGCTTGCACCTTGCCTTTTACATCCTTTTACATCCTTTTATATTTTATATATATATATCCTTTACAATAGGCATTTGATCCTTCTACAGTATCTCCACCCGCCTCCAGATCCTTGAAGTCTCGCATGAGCAGCGCTATCGTGAGCAGGGCTCACATGAGCAAGGCTGCTGGAGTTGCAGCCACCAGTCGCGTCCACAAAGCACTAAGCGAGGCGATGCGCTAAGCTGTTGGAAACAAAGGGTCACAGAGTCACAATTACAACAGAATCAGAACATGTCACAACAGTTCGCTGACTAAGGGTGCATTGTGGACATCTGAAAAGTTGTGATCTCTGATTAAGGACTCGGCCCGAAGGCTGCGGAGGCAGAAACATCCGAATGGTGCCTTGGAAGTGTCGACCAAAATTGGTGTGTGGCAACTCTGCTCCAATCCTCCCAGTCATCAGGGGATATCAACAGAGATAACAAACAGCACCAAGCCTGTCAGAGTCTGACAGCCAGCATCTGATACCAACCACGCTCCAATCTGATCAATTTGTAATAGCCAAGCTGCACGCCATGCTTGGCACACACCTTCCGAGTAATCTTCCTGCATGTGTCATAGCAGTGATGTCCTTGGATTCGAGTGCAAATTGCACTGACAAACACGCATAGATGACATAGACAGCATAGACCCACAAATCAAATAGGAATATCGCAATGGCCGCCACATACGATGCTGACGCGTTTCTGTGTGCAGGTCACAAAAAGGCAATGCCATTTCGTGTCAAGTCCCTTGCAAGCCATGGAACCGATGCCAGGGAACAAGTGGTGCTCAATTTGTGTAGTGAGGCCAAATGCGACGTGGAACCTAGGCTGCTGGCTGCTGCACTGAAGGCCTCTGAGCGGCGTGAACTGGCATTAGCTATATAGTCGTACTACCACAACTCCCGAGGACCCAATTTGCAGGAAAGACTGCAGAAACGAACGAACATCGGCAGAGTCTGGCAAATGCCCAATCATCAAAAGCAACAAACTCAATATATACCCCTTTTGAGACAACAAAATTTCGAGCATTGCGAGTCGGCTGAAGACAATTGAACACATGTCGGCACTGCAACTTAATATAATTTAATTTTAATGATATCGACCAGCTACCAAAAGTCTGACTCACTGGCAAAGTCCACGCTCTCGGCGATCTGCATCTTGGCCCAGGATTCATGCCTTACAGTGCCATTACAGCTTGTGGCTCCGTGGCTCGCAGAGTCTCCGATCAAGTTGCGGCCATTGCGGAATGTCTCGTGAAAATATGTGAAAATCATAGACACAATTTCGACTGATTGCCTATAAGGACGAGCGTCTTGTCAGAGTCCGGATACAGAATGACGTGAGCTACTTGAGAGCAGGGAACAAAGATTGCACCCGCAGTGAGCCACATGCACCTAAACTGCCACAGCTCACAATGCTGGGAGGAACGGAAAATTTACATGACCTTCTCTTGAGACCATCCAAACACACAGTCCTTAAGAGCATGGACACACTTCATCAGCAACAACCGAAACACATCAAATCGTTTGTGGAAGATAGGAAACGGACTATCTGGTGTTATCTGGCAACCAAGTAGCACATAGCAGAGCATGGATGGTCCTTGGCCAGAGCTCAAAGCGAAAAAAATGAAAAAAAATGAACAGAATTTGTCTGAACTAACCACAGGGATCCACAGTGGCATCAGTACAGGGGGCACTGGCCACTTTCTGGAATCAAAACACAGCCACAGAACATGTCAGAACTCATTCGACGTTTTCCTCATTGGTTACCAGTGGTTTGCCTGAGGCTGAATTTGGTGTTGGCCATTGCCTAAAAGGGGCGTGCCAACATTGCTACGTTCGATTATATAAATTCCTGGCCCATAGCTGTTCCGCTGGCTTTGCCTAAAAGAATGCAGATGAAGCGCCGAACATGTAGTGGAGGAAGCACCACAACGGAATCTCAATGAGGATCCCACCCAGGCCTCACAGCACACTTCTTGGCACTTTGAGCATCTGTACTATTCTGTACTTCCAATCTCAAACCATCGAACAAATTCCACCATGTGCATTTCCAATGCCAATAGAAATGTTTCTACCACCTACATCCACCTACCATGCAAAAGCTGCGGGCCCCCAGTTGGACTACACTTCCGGTGTCACTGCCAAGCTGCGGTAGTCGACCTTATGGCCACCGACCTCAAACTTCAGGCGATGTCAAGGTGATACAAATTTCACTAAGGGATCTTCACAATTCTTCACCCCCCTCCGCCCAACAAATCCTGCGCCGTACACATAACCGTAACCTCTCAGGAAATCCCTCACGAAGTTTATCTCATCCTCTCATGTGATGCTGTGGGGCAACGACAACATGACCATCTAAGAGAACACTACAAAGGTGAATCACATCTGTTTCAAAAGCTACGGCACGTAGCTTCTATTCACGAATTGAATATCAAAATGTTTAAAGGCTTTCCTAGATTCTGCTGCCAGGAAGCATGCCCACGGATCAAGAGGTCCACAATCATACCTTGACATCTCTGACATCAAACTAGTCACCAAAGTATTAAGGCTGCACTTGCCGGTTCAGGTTCCACATGCAGCTTTGGCACGCTTCACTCCAACCTCAACAACGGTGCCAATGAAGATGCCAGGCAATGACAAAACCTGCGATGCACTGATGCTAAATTCTAACCAGCTTTGACAGCTTGGTGTTGTTCCACCCTTCAGCATGACATGCTGCACAATCTTCACATAAATCATTCAAGCATATTCGAAGTACTCTTCACTAGGTAAATGCCAACGTGTGAGGGACGGCCTTCATCCAACCAGGAAGCTTATCTGCAATCCAAATGTACTCCTTAAGACAAGCTTCAGCTGCAAGAGCACTACAACATACAGTAGAAGTACCTTCGGAAATCCTGCAGAAATCACAAGTCTCCTTGTCTCTTCGTCTTTGTTTCTCACTCCCAAGTGACCCAAGTGTTGGTAGAGGCTCCCTCTGCACGATTTTGAATGTTAGCTCTTCGAACCTCTCGCATCTCCATGTCTCAAAGGCAATGTCGCTCTGCCAAGCTGCCACATCCACATCCTTCTCCGCATCCTTGTCTTGATTGGTGCTAACGTGGTGGCTCACGACATGCTGATAGTACCAGCACCTCAAGTCTTGAATGTGGTATTCAACGACGGCCAATAAATGAAAAATTAATCAGCAACCAAAACATTTTGAGCCCCTGACATCGACGGACCCACAATGAAGAAGCCAAGGAAAAGGCTCAAACGGTTCACCCACTCCTGGAGATGCAAATCACCTGTTCCTTCATGTGTGTACGACCTCCAATAGTAATGTTGTTGCTTCTATTTTCCTCAGCCAGAATGAAAATTATCAAATGATTTCAGACCTGAAAGGAACAAGACATCTAGCCTAGATCTAGCTACCATTTGATAACCTGATGAACCAAGCTGGAAAATGCAGTCCTTGCGGCTGACCTGCCAATGCCCGCCCTCGTGGGACATGCGAGTGGCCACTGTCGCCACCAAACACCCAGCAAGCAAACCTCACACCAGCCGTCCGGCCGCAAGAACCAAACAGCAACCACCAGAAACAGCACCTACATTGCCCGAGAAAGAGACCGGGCGCATACAGAAACATGGTCCTTCAAGAAGCACAATTATAAATCTTGTTTGCCGACCCAAATAGAAAACGATAAGAAGTTATGTAAAAGCTAGCCAAACACTTTCGAACCTGCAAGTAAGTCCTTCCGAGAAGTAGTATGACATCCCCAAGCCCCAAGAAATCCCAATTCCTCCAACCTACTGTATACGATCTTGCAAGCTGACTTAGACTGCGGTTCTTCAAGATTAAATCCACGTCTGAAACTTTCATATTTTCGCTGGGCAGTGCATTTTCATGAGAATTTCAAATCTCCAACTCGCTCACTCCCTGACCTGGATTTCGAAGCACCGGAGTGGAATCACTGGGATCTCTTTGGTAAATCCCTCCAGCATCACTTTTTGAATCTCTGCCAACTCCTGTTGACGCTTAGATTGCAAGACACTCAGCATGAACCATGCTGTTGACTTCCAAGGAGCTGGAAAGTGGAGTGGCTACGACAAAAAAGAGCCACATCCTTGGAAAGGGTTTAACATGGTGCAACAAATCATGGTGTGACGGACTGAAGGGATCGCAATCAACAGAATCTAAGTTGGACCTTTGCTTTCTCTGAAGCCACGGAGTCTGAGGTACATCTGTCTGATGCAATGACAAAAGCAAAAAGTAGAAGCAACTGCAAATCTGCCAAACGAACAGGGCAAAAGAGCATAGTTTCTGTTCATTTCAGTTTCTTTCTGGAGAAGTGCTAATGCTGCAAAGGGTCATGAACGACCATGCTGCAGCCAACCCCTGTGCTGTCCACATGCCGATTTTGTGAGAGAGAGAGAGAGAGTGTGTGTGTGTGTGCGCGCGCGCGCGCATTGTGTGTTGTTGTGTTGTGTGTGTGTGTGCTTGTCCGTGTGCTACCAGCGACGTAAATGCACACAGAAATGTCATCCATACCAAATCGAATTGGTCTGCTCAGAGCTCGTTTCGATAAATGCATGCATGCAAATAGTTGTGCACATAAGTCACAAGTCTAGTTATACGTATACAATTTGTATACAGTATATGTGTGTGGATGTGTACATATATATATTATATATAACATAATTATCTACATGCTATCTGCATGTGTGTCGCGATTGTTCAATTCAATATGTTTAGAAAGGATTGCAGTTGCATATTGGCTGTGCTGCAAAGGGACGATCTTTGCATGCAGCCGCATCTTGGTGCTGCCGCAGCCTTCCGGGAAGGCTTCACGGATCCCTGCCTGGCGGATGTGCAAAGTGTTCATCTCGTCTCGCCATGTCTTAAGCACTTAAAGATCTTAAAGGTTCAAAGTTTGCTCAAAGTTTGTTCAAAGGTTCAAACACGTAATGTCTCGCCATGTCTCGCCATGTCTCGTCATGTCTTGCCTTGATTTCCTCATAAAATGGATCTGGAGGAGGTGGTGCTGCGCCATATGCACGAAGAATCTTGCGGTGCTTGTCATTCCAGGGGTGGTACCTCAAAGGCCAAACAGATATTGAAACAATGTGACCAAAGTTCCACTCTTTCGGTGCCACAGTACAAGCTGTGGGCCTTTCACATCCATAATAGAACTCCCATCCCTCCGGTCAGAAAAAAAACAGTTTGGCCCAGTTTGGTAGGAATCACAGGCTCAGACGACTCAAAAAGCGCAGTACAGTCACGGCCGCGACCTTGGCAGCATGGACCATATGCAACTGAGGCGATGCATTGCCAAGTGAGAACAAAACGATGTTCAAAGTGTCATAACTTTGAGTCAAAACATTTTAAAGCCCCTGAACTGAACCATCAAAAAATCAAGAAACACATTTCTTGATCTATGGCAGAGTCCAAAAGCAAAGGCTAAATGAATTGCAGAAATGCCAAGTAACCGGTCAAAAGCGCCATGCGCCCACCAGGATGTTTGTCAACAAATTCATGCCTGGAATGAGTCATGAGCGCCAGTGCTTTTCTGAAAAGCAGTGACAAGCAGAAAAAAGAAAGGAGGTGGGTTCAATAAAGCATGCCCCAGCCATGCTGATGCATCAGTTGCCCTCTGCATCGTATTTCAATTCACCATGTTTTCCACTCAGTACATCCAGCATGTCAGCTTCCCGTCTTCCAAGCTGCAAATCATAGCTGTTGCCATGGATGTACCACAGGTTTGGGTCGTACACAGTTGGCTTCGCTGGGATCTCCTTTGCAATGAGGCAACAATTGAACAATTTGAACAAATAATTGCATGCGAATTTCAATGTTTGCAACTGGGCCTAGAAGAGAGACCAAGTGCAATGGGTTTGTTTACCATCAATGCTGCAGCTTTCTCAAAGTCAAACATATGCCTCAAACATATGCCTCCGATATACAGTGTATATTATTACGTACGTACGTACCTACGTACGTACGTATGGATGGACGGATGCATGCATGCATGCATGGCATGTATGTACCTACGTACGTATGTACGTGAATATATTGTGTGTAGATATATATATATGTCTGTGTGTGGGTGTGTGTGTGTGCAGTGTATGTGTATGTCATTGTGTGTATGTGTATGTCAGCGTATGTATCTGTATGTAGGTATACAGTATGTATGTCCATGCATGTGTATGTATACAAGTTCATGCAAGTGGTATGTGATGGTAGCTGTGTGTGTATGTATGCATGTATGTATGCCTGCATGTATGTATGCCTGCATGTATGTATGCCTGCATGTATGTATGCCTGCATGCATGTGTGCATATACTTTTATACATTCGGGAAAATATTGTGACCGCACACATGTCTCCATATGCCTGTGCTGTGTATCTTCTCTCAACTTCCCCCTCGAAATGTCAAAAACATCACAAACAGTTCCCAGAAAATCCTACAAAATCTCTGTGTCTCTCTGTGCCTCCTTGAGCGATGCTTCGGAGCTGTCAGACCGAAACTCAGTGGACTCGGCGGAGGTCGGGGAGGCATCGCCCGTGCCTTGTCACATGAAAGGACAGGTCCCGAGTGGTTTCCAATCTTCGAATGGTCGAGGAAAGAGGCAGAAAATACACTAGACTCACTAGACTCACAGAGGTAAACCTGGTATCAACGGTATCAACATGCGACACCTACATAAGATGCCACCACTATGGAGCCAGTGACTCACCTCATGCCGTTTAGGCTCAGCCAACTGGAACTGTTTTGAACAGCAAAACCTTGAACTTTTCACTACCTTGTCACTAATCAAAGTACGGTAATCACCTTTCAGAAGCACTAGCCGTCACTAGCCCAGTGATGTACACGGCTGTGTCAGGCCAAAGCACCCTTGCTGACAACCTTGCGTACCATGTTTTTGAAGGTGGCTGCTTTTTCGTTTGTCAGCTGTGCGCTGAGCTTGAGCCAAAATCTTGGACCAACGGCCATCTAGCAGCGCATATGGCATATTGATGCATGTTGGGCATTGTGAAAGGGCCGAAGCCGCAACAAGGCTGGCATTTGCATTCTGCACGCTGCGAATGCAACCCGTCCGCCACAGGATGAGCCGCTGCAATGGTGTGACTCAAATATTATCAAATATTGCAACGACCTCAACAAATTTCAACAAATAAAATGAGAAAGAAGAAAATATCCAAAAAAGAAGAAAAAACCAAGAGTCTTTGCTTTCGCCTTTGCTCTTGGCTTCCTGCAGCCACATTGGGTCAGAAGCAAGGATCTTGACTTGGCCGAGGCCAAAGAAAGATGTGGAACATAGAGTAGGAACTCAGAACAATATGAGCTGGCAGCACCGTTTTCACATGTTTTCCCGGTATTGCAGGAGTGAGACTCAAATACGCCAAAACCTGCCTCTGGACCTCTTTCGTCTCTGTGCTCTTGGTGCCTTTCAAGGCGTCCTTTCCTTCCTTTTCCTTCAGAAAGGCAGTTGCTTGGCATGGGGAGATGATGGGAGATGCATACTCATGACATCATGTGACTGTCGTGCATGATGACCCCATCCGGAGATTGGCGTCCTGACTTCTTCCCTCGCGTTTTCGCGCCAAAGCTGCCAGCAACGGCAGCTGAGCAACTGGCAGGGCTGCAAGGCTGCAAGCTATCTAAAGGGGTCCTAACCAAGGGCTACTGTACTTGAGTCGAACACATGTCATCCTGTACTATCCCACACATATCTAAAGATTACTACAGCCTACACATGCAACAGCATCAATGAACCTCAACAATTGCAACTGACATACCTCATATATCCTCATATCCGCATATCCGCCTGGGGTTGCCATGGAAGGGTCAGGCTTCGCTGATTGTCAAAAAGACCCAAGATGAGCGGAGGCTTGGCTGTTGCTCCGCAGTTGGAAGCTTGTAACTGATCAATACTATGAGTCTCCCTAAGTAATTTCAGCATAATTAGCTACTCAACTACTCGTTCATTTTTCGGAGAACTCTGCATGTTTGAGTTGCATGATAAGGACAGTTTGAGAGCAAAGCGTCGAAGAAGAGTGTGAAGTTGGATGACATATCTACATTTTCGCTGGGTCTGTGCGTTGCTGCTTGGAGTTGCGGGGCTTTCGGCACATAGAGCAGGAGACTGTCTGCGCACTGCTCACTCTTTCAAGATTCTACGCTCGAGCCAAAACTCAAGTCTCACATATGCGTGGACCCCCAACCAGCGGAAGAAGGATACAAAAGACTTTCCTGCAACATGTCATGAGCACCCTGAGCCGATGGTAGATACAAAATAATACAAATCGATATAGTCGATTAATTATGGAGGTAGAGTAGTACATGTAGTACATTTATAGAGGCATCCCTCTGGTCTGGCCTTCACAGCCTGGTCAGCGTAGTCCACAATGAAGCTCACAATGAAGCCTCCGATCAAATCGTTTCAAACTTGGGGCATGTTCAAGGTCCCCTCCCCCTTTGACCGGTCTTGCGGGCCTATTCCTATGAAATGTATCATGCATTTGCAGGATGATTTTGATGAACATGTATGTATATTTATATATATTATATTATATATTATATTATATATTATATTATATATTATATTATATATATAATGATGCATATATGCATATATGATGTAGTATATAGTATCATGCATTGTGATGTTGCATGTATTGATAGCATGGGCGACCTTATGGTCAGCAATGATCTCATCCATTTATATCCATTTCATTTCAATCGATATTCTTTTGGTGAAGTTTGATGGATTCCCGTGGTGCCCACTGTGGTGCCCGCTATGCCCAGAGGATTCGAATGATTCGATATGTCTTTTGGGCAGGGCCGTCCGCTGCTGTGGGCTCGCGCCCGTTTCTGCCAACCTCTTCCAATAGCTGTGCATGGCATGAGCATGCTACAGGCGGCTCTTGAAATGCACCACTGTGGTTTTTCTGTGCCATCTTGTCGACTGCGCACCTCAAACAAATACGAAAAGCATGGTGCATTCCTCATTTGCCGAAAGATTGAGCAGAATTTTCGAATTCCCCTTGAGCTTTACCATTTTTCCAAATCTAGAATTTCAAGCCAAGTTCAAGCAAAGAAGGTCAATCAAGCAAATACCCAAGGCCGAACAAAGGCTTCATTTCATTGGAAGCCACATGCCGATGCCACTCATCTGCTTAGCAACGAGGCAGCAAGGCAACCGTGCAAGTCATTACGCAGCCCCAATTCGGTCAGGCAAACACCTTCAGCACACTCTTGAAGTCAGGGCGTAAGGATTCACAGGAAACAACGGAAGCTCAAGACCTTACAAAATCTGTCACGTACAAGTTGTATCATATAGGGACAGGTCGTACCAAGTGATGTGCGAGTCGCATCAAGCCGTACTAAGTTGTATGTCAGTTGCATCTGTGTCTCAATGTTTGCTCTTGATTGACAAGTTTCGGTCACTTCCTTTCTTGCTTGGCCAGACTTTCCGGAGGCACTTAAGGAGCAACTCCTTGAATCAAGGCAGTGGGCTCTCGAAGAAATAATAGATATTGAAAGAGTTCTTGATTCATCGTCATTCTAGCTTTCGAGATTCTGTGTGGCTGCAACGATCGTGGTAAACATTCAAAGCTGAAACCCAAACATTTGCACAAATGGATCTCAGATGATCTCGGCAAATGTCAGGACCAAGAATCTGTTGGCCGCCCAAAGGTGCAGGTGCAACACATTCTTGCTGTTCCTGCCCTTGTTGGCCTTGTTGCTGCTCCTGCCCTTGCTGCTGCCCTGCTGCCTGTGGACAGAGAGCGCAAAAAGCCTTCTGCGATGACATGCCGTGACTTAGTGACCTTTCACCTGGCTTCGGCTTCACCAAACTCGAGCCGACTCGAGCCTACTCGACCCACCCCTGGCACTTCCCAGCACCTGGAGAATGGCTTGAGCAGCTGCTTCATTCGGCTCGACGCCTTGGCGACTGAAATCGCTGGCACGGGGCTTGCAGCTTCAGCATACCATCACAGATTTTGGAACTGAGATTCTCATCAAACAAAGGTCGGCAGCACTTAGCTGGCCAAAACATGCCAAAACGTCAGTGCAATGAGCGCAGTGCCTTCTCTCAAAAGTTTGAAGTATATCTTTTGCACAAAAGCCTTCCTCAGCATGACAAGTCTGGAAGTGAGTGCAAATGGCTGCGGCCAATCGTAAATTCCAATGTCTCTCTACGGGCAAGAATCAGGTCCCGTCGCTGCGAGGCAGACTCAGTTGCGCCCTCAGCCTGGCCGGAGCCAAAATGCCCTCTCCATCACTCCGTTCCAATTCAAAAACAGATAAAAACAGTATCACAAGACGCAATCAATGCCCTGCAAACGCTGTGCCACAGATTGTGATGCCTCGGTCGCCTCTGCTGAGTCTTGCTTTTCAGAGTGATCTGAACCTGTAAGACGAGCGGCAGCAGCATCAATCGAATCGGGCATCTTTTTTGGTGCCCCGTATTCTAACAATCATGTAGGCGTGCTCATCGTTCTGCAGTACAGCGGAGTTAATCACGTCTGATTGCATTCGCACACTCACTTGAGGCGCTATTTGAATTTCATTTGCGCTTGAACACGTCCCTGCTGGCATGTTAGAGATTGGGTGGGGTGTGGTGGGTTGAGTGGAGCTAATAAACGTCGGAATTCACGTCCACTGTTGCTTGACGCTACGCTGCTTGAAGTTCGCTGCCACTTCCACAGTTACTCGATGCCACGCCACGCTGCTTGAAAATCACTTGCGCTTGCACAGTTGCTCGATGCTATACTACGTGAAGTTCAGTTGCACTTGCACAGTTATTTTTTGCTAAGCTACTACTTGATGTTCACTTGCACTTCGACAGTTACTTGATACTACAGTGAACCTCGCAGGGACTTTAGGACCGAAAAAAAATACGTTTAAAGAAAATGTTGTGAAGTCAGTGGTTCATGTTTAAAAAGCGACTGGACGAAGAGAGCCCTGTGCACAGGGCAGAAGCGTTCGCCTACAAAATGCTCAATATTGCGTAAAATACGGTGTGTTTGGCTAGCGGTTTGCGAACAGCACAGTAACAGTAACTTTCACAGGTTTTGCCAAGGGGCTAAAAATGTGGCAAATACCATGCTTTTTGGCTTCTGGGGTTTTGCTCCGATTGTCTCTGGGGAGCCCCGAAAAAATGAAAACATTGATACTTATACAATTACACTGGCTCGGTGGAATCGGATTGCAACACAGAAATTGTGCGCAAAAAATGATGTGTTTTGTTTTCGACACTGGGCCCTTACAGCATTGATAGTTGATACTACAGTACCAGTACCATCATGACTTCTACTGCCTGCATTAATCCCTTCCTCCTAATACTAAACGTCCCCCTAATACTAAAAACAGGCATCCATCTCCAATTTCCGAAAATTTCAGTTTGGCCAATTTGACTTTTAATTGATCCCCTTTAAAAAACAATTTAAAAATCAACCTACCATTTGTGGGTTCTCCCCCCTAATACTAAAAACTAGTTCACCCCGGGGTGTTTAGTATTAGGGGGGCCTAGTCCCAATCCCTCACTCCAAGCTGCCTGGCTACTCTAGCAATTAGGGGTAAGCTTCGAACTGCCATTTTTGGCAATATTTTAATTGCGTTATATAAGGAAATTTAATTGATTTTGAGATCGGAAAAAATAGTTTTTAGTATTAAGGGTTTTAATTTAGTATTAGGGGTAAGCTTCGAACTGCCATTTTTGGCAATATTTTAATTGCGTTATATAAGGAAATTTAATTGATTTTGAGATCGGAAAAAATAGTTTTTAGTATTAAGGGTTTTAATTTAGTATTAGGGGTAAGCTTCGAACTGCCATTTTTGGCAATATTTTAATTGCGTTATATAAGGAAATTTAATTAATTAATTAACATGACTTCGATTTGGTTCCCTAATAATAAATACCCCCCTAATACTAAAAACTACCTGCCGTGTTTTGTATTAGGGGGGGGGTTTAGTATTAGGAGGAAGGGATTACTTGGAGTGTAGCAACAAGCAATGCCGGCAAGATCTTCTCGAGAAAGGACCGCCAACTCTACAAGCACTCTCGGATTTACAGACCGTACATTTGTGAGGACCTTTTCGTTAAGGGGAAACATGTCTTTGGCTTTGCTCAAGGCATAGAAGCGGTGCGCAGTGGTGCCTGCCGTGCTTTGCCAGGTCTCCTCAAAGTCTCGCACCTTCACATGCACTTTTGGTGAAGAAAAAAATAATGCGGCGAAGCCCTCACTCAAAGCCTTACACTTCGCCAAAAGGGCACCTTGCTGAGGGCTTCGTTGAATGCCAGGACTTGGCTGGCTGGCACTTCAATCTCTCCTCATGCTGTTAATTGGGCAGGGAATTGCGGCAGCCATGTATGTCTCAACATATTAAGTGCGAACACTCGAGCACTGCTGACGCACAATCCAACATGACCGAATGCTGGCACCAGCCAGTACGAATCACCCGTACAAGGGAATGTGCAGGAGCAGCTGCTTTTGTCTCGCTCTGGCAAGTCACTTTGGAGGCTTTGGAGCATGTCTAGCAGAATCTGGCCAAGTCTGGCCGAGTGTAGCTTGTCATTGCACTACCCCACGCAGCAACCTCCCATGCTAAGCTTTAGCCCTGGACAGGTTCTTGTAGGCACTGTGAGCCTTGTGCAGGTCTGAACCACAAAATCAACGAAGCCATCATGTCACAAAGATTTCATACAATGCAGGTTGAAAGCATCAGTGCTGGACAAAATTGCGGTTTGGGCGCCTGGAAGTGAATCACATAATGCAAAACCTCCGCCAGCAAGAGCACCCAAAGCCCCAACATGACACTGAAGAGTACGCCTCGGATGTCACTGAGCACAAGATCCACAAGTTTGTCGCAGGTAGAAGGATGATACTTCGATACATACTCTGAGAGAGCGGTGCTAGTAGTTCAGGAAATTCAAAGGTGGGTGTTGCCTTCTTTCTCCCCTGCACTCCTTCTTCTGCCTCCCCTTTCTCCCACCTCTACGAACATAAGAGCACAAATAGGGTTGAATTCCACTCACTTGGGTCCAGTGACGCCAAGTTCAGATGTACACCAACAGGCAAATTCAAATCGACCTATTTGAAACTAGGGACTCTTCCTAGCATGTTTGCACTAGAAGTTGGCAGTGCATTCTGGGGGGCATTGCCATAGAAGTGCCGGTTCTCTGGCGCATTCCGATTGAATTTGTGCTGGAGAAAGTTATTTCCACTTTCCATGCCCATCCATCTGGATCCTCCTGAGGTCCTCCTCGAATAGCCTATGTATATATACCAGTAGTACCGCACAAAGCGGTGGCGGAAGTTTCGAAAATAGGAAACCTATAGGGGAGGTTGGTTGTTGTGAGTCACGGATGACAGGGCGAAGCCACTGATGGACCGACAAGTGGTTGAGGTCTCCTCTTTTTTCTCTCTTTCTTTCTCTTTCTCTGACTATCTACCTACCTACCTACCTACTTACCTACCTATCTATCTATCTATCTATCTGTCTGTCTGTCTGTCTGTCTGTCTGTCTGTCTATCTATCTGCAAGCTTGAAAACGAAGCAATTCTGCGAGACATCCTCATATTTTGAAGTTGGCCACATCAAAATCATCAAAAACAAAGCAATTCTGCGAGACTTCCTCATTTCTCAAAGTTGACAACATCACAAACGAACCAATTCTGGGAGACTTCTTCAATTTTCCAACTTGACAACATCAAAAACAAAGCAATTCTGCGAGACTTCCTTCAAAAATGGAAAGTTGAGTGCAGAGCTAACAGCCTCGTACCAATGCGTTTTGCGACTTTTCCAATCCACCTGTCGAAAGTACTGCGCCTGCTACGAGAAAGTGATGCCAGGTCATACGAAGCGCTGCACCTGTCACGCAAAATCAATTCAGCAAACCTGAAGATCTGATGCTCCAAAATGCAACCCCTCTCAGGAAAGCACCACCCAGGCCTCCTAACAGCTCCGATGAAAATGTCTCTTGTACTGCACCTACCACGGAAAATGCATCTTTGCAGATCCTCTTCAAATGCACCACGCCTGCCATCGTTTTTGGAAATGCTACAAAACCCTCACGTTTTGCTCACTTTTGACCAGGTGCACAATCCCCTGCGCCTGCCACGTGGAACGAGATCTGAACGTCCAAAAGCAGTCCGTACATTATGTTTTTGTACATTTTGACTTCGAAATGTGCTTCGCGCCACAACGGCGTGCACTTTTTCGACATCTCAACTTCCAAAAGTGGTCCGAACGTGAGGTGTTTTTAACTTTTTCACTTACAAATGTGCTTCGGCCAAAACGGCGTGCACTTTTTCGACATCTCAACTTCCAAAAACGGTCCGAACGTGAGGTGCTTTTAACTTTTTCACTTACAAGTGTGCTTCGCACCAAAACGGAGCGCACTTTTTCGACATCTCAACTTCCAAAAATGGTCCGAACGTGAGGTGCTTTTAACTTATTCACTTACAAATGTGCTTCGGGCCAAAACGGCGTGCACTTTTTCGACATCTCAACTTCCAAAAATGGTCCGAATGTGAAGTGCTTTTAACTTTTTCACTTACACATGTGCTTCTCGCCAAAACCTCGTGCACTTTTTCGACATCTCAACTTCCAAAAAACGGTCCGAACGTGAGGTGCTTTTAACTTTTTCACTTACAAGTGTGCTTCGCACCAAAACGGCGCGCGCTTTTTCGACATCTCAACTTCCAAAAATGGTCCGAACGTGAGGTGTTTTTAACTTTTTCAATCTTTTTCACTTACACATGTGTTTCTCCCCAAAACGGCGTGCACTTTTTCGACATCTCAACTTCCAAAAATGGTCCGAACGTGAGGTGCTTTTAGCTTTTTCACTTGCAAATGTGCTTCGCGCCAGCACGGCGTGCACTTTTTCATCTCTCATCTGGCCAGATGGCTCCGCACCCACCGCTTTTGCGAGCCTACTTTTCGACCCTCCGGAGCCACAAATCATTGGAAAAACGCAGTGTTTCGCGACTTTCCTACCTTTTCGCGCATCTGCATCTTCTTTCTTCTGACTCTTCTCTTCTCTGATCTTCTCTCTTCTGCTCTTCTCTTCCCTTTCCATCTCTGCTTTTCATCTGTCCATATTGTCGGAAGTTTGACTTCCAAACTTACTTCGACTATATATGTATATGTATAATATATATATATATAATATGTGTGTGTGTGTGGTATGCGACTGCTGTGGTCCTTTGATGTCCTTTCTGCTCAAATCGGCTCGACACATTGGACACATGACCTGCCTTGTTTGTGGTAAGCTGTGCCAGCGCAGGTGACCACGATAATGCCCATAATGGCAACGTCCAGCATTTCAATGTGCTTCAGAACTTTGGAGACTTTGATAAATCTGGCAACATCTGGCAACATCTGGCAACATCTGGCAACATTGAAATACTTTATGCATCTTTATGCCTTAACAGGGCCTTGGGATCACATACGTCCGTAAAGACCCTAAAGTACAAAATCTCCAGTGACATTTTAGTGCTGTGGAAGCTGTAGATTTCAGTTGTCCAGACCACATTTGAGGTTTGAAGAAACTTTGAACAAGAGGCAGGGGACAAGAGGATGCTGTTTGCTATTTGGCGCTTGTTGTTGTTCGTCCTCTTCTCCACTCTTGAGCACACGGCGTGGCCTCCATGCTGCTTCCGGGTCTGACATCTTCCACGAAGCCAGCAGAAGACAAAGCATGTTTACCTGATTCCGAACCAGGTTGAACCAGATGACAAACTCTTGACAAACAGAGGAAATGGCGAGAGCAGAGGTACCCTCTGCTGAGAATTTCGGACATGGGATCACAAGACTTGCTGTCCGTGGCACAATTGGCAACGTGACAACGAAGACGGAAAGCATCAACACAGCCTCAGCTTGCAAAAAACAATGCAAGACTTGGAAAAAAAGAGAACAACTTCTCAGGTTCCAATTGGCAGAAGTTATGAGTTATGCGTCTCTTGTGGCAAGCGGAATTCTGAAATGCAGCCAACAAAAGTGAGGCGGAAACATGTACAAAACCCGTTTCCAGCACATTTCTTTGCGGCCAATCTTTTGCTCAGCTTAACATGCGTCAAAGTCGCGAAAATATCGTTGAGCTCACCAGTAGAAATATAGCCGGTAAGAGCTCGAGTGGCTCCAGCAATGGTCACCTTCCAAAGTAAATCAAATTCAACTTGTAAAGCTACCTTAGCAGCTACCTCAGATCATGGTGCTGGATGCCTCCGCATTGACAAGCTCTTCGATATGCAACGAATCTATCAAAGGCTTCATCGAGGCATCAAGAGGCCCAGTTGGCCTCAGCAATGTTTGACCATGCTCGTTGGCGTCGATTCACGTAGATTCTACGCATTCTATGCATTCTAAGCGCCACACGTTTCACTCTTTTACACTTATCATTTGCACTGTACCAAGCCCTGCAAACAGAGGTAAGGCCTGGAAAGCAGGCTGCACTGCCAAGAAGCTTGAGCAGAATGCTGGAGTCCAGGAACATCGCCATAGTTGGCGTAAACAAACCCAGAATGAACACCCCCATGAACCTCGGGACGTGCCAAAGGCCTGTTTCACATGGATAAGTTGACATCTGAAAGGGGTGCCTCGAAAAAGTCACACGTTAAGGAGGTAAAATAACAACATTTTATGACACCCATGCTTTGATTATGCATAATGAGGGATGTGTCACTTGAGGTATGAGCTAGTGATGTTAAAAGAAACTGTATCTACTATATATATAATCTTCTGTAACCCCCTTGCAGAAGCTGTGACACTGTGATATACTGGGTCGCCCTTCGAGCTGTACAAGATGACCGCGAGAGCGACAATAATAAATGATTTCAACGATGCCTTCAGAGACCAAAAATCACATTGCCGGCCAATGGATGCGAAAGTAAGCTCAGCGATCAAAAAAAAGCTCCAATGTTTTGCTTGATCTCCCTACAATTTGGAATCGGTATCCCCATGATAGGCGGAATAATGCCTGATATGAACAATGTACATACGTATATACGTATACATCACACGACATGAAGTTATGTTACGGCACATTAAATGACATAGCGCAACCTTCCATTACATTACCTGTCACATAAACATCCATATGTTTATGCATGTCTATTGTATATGCGTGTGCACATGCATGCGATAGGTGGCGATAGATTTGTGGTGTAATTATCCTGGATTGCACTTTGCCGTTACAACTGAAACAAACAATAGAAAATGTTGAAGCAAGCCCAGCAAGATGACTCTTTTCTTCAATACATGGCGTCACTTGGATTCTTGTCCAACATATTGCATCCAACTCTCAGCTTCCCTTGGCAAATATTCATCTACCGTGTCATTATCCATGGCAACTAGCGATCTATCGTCTGCTTTTCAAGCTGAGCGGCACCAGGAAGGCAACTGCTACCACGCTGAAGAGGGACTCATTACCAAACGTACGTAGCACCCAAGGACGGCTCACATCATCCAACTCCTCCGGAGTCACTGGAACCTGCCACATACGCAGAAGTTTCTAGCTTCAATATGCGTCACTGGCGTCACTTTGCATCTGCAACCATGACAAACCCTTAGAGCCAATTTGGGCAAACTCTGTATCAAATGGATTTGGCGGTCAAATCTGGCTAAGAAGCCAAACATATCATTCCCGTTTTCTGACTGGGTCCATCGTGGACCTTTGCAGCGAAATCTTTTCCGAATACCCTCCACTCTCCTCCAAAAAAAAGCTCAAAAAATGCACACACAAAATGCACCTGCACCATGAGGGCCGAGAATGTCGAAAACACGCAGAAGATGCTAAAGCAAGCAAAGCCTAAATCCGAGACTACTTTGGCCAGCGCAGCGCATGCTGTTGTTACAAAACTGTCTGCCAAGACTATGATCATACATTAGTGAGATCAAATCATCTTCCCGGATCTTCCCGGATCTTCCCTACACAGGTTCTAAAGTTCTAAAGATGTGTAGGGAAGATGCTTGGGGTTCTCTGGTTCTCTGCTTGGCTTTGGATGTCTCCCATGTCTCCCATGTCTCCCATGTCTCGATGCCAAATGTCTCAGTGCGGCCATGACACCAATCCCAAGCTGCGCTGGCGCTGCAACCACCCCACCGGCACCATCCAAGTGACGGAAAAGGTATCTCAGATATCTCAGATATCTCAGAGGAAAGATAGGAAAGATAGGAAAGGTCACTGCGTGTCATGTTCTATCCGCGTCTCCATTATCATCCCTCATCCTTTTGACGTCTTCTGACTGTATAATATGTGTTGTCTAAATATCTTGAAGCACGCCAAGCTCAAGCTGGATTGCCATCCCATCCAAGTAGCAAAAGAAGGATGTAGGCAAACATATCTGGGCATGCCCACTTGCTGATGAATTGCACGACCTTTTGGCCAATGGCTTGAGTGTGCCAGCTCTCTGAGGAATCCCAGCCACTCCCATCGCACAACATTGCATAACATTGCATAACTATGCATAACAATGCATAAGAATCATAGCATTTCCACGTAAGTCACTGAATCCCTTGGAATCCTCCGTCATGGAATCTACAGTTTCAAAACGCACCAAGCCTCAATGAGCATCTTGGCTTTGTGTACTTTGCGTGGGTCCGAATTCTCACGCCAGAATTCACCCAAGATCAGAGCTGCGATCTTCACTGCCGGCACCACCATGGCATAAAGGATGAGCCTTGGGACGCGTTTTCAACGGCCCCAACTCCACCCCACCCCCCGAAGTTTAGAAAAAGGTTACCCACCAAAATTAGAGGTGCCTGATACTGTAAATAGAACATGATAGGACTAGTATGGACTAGTCAAGGTTCACAAAGCTGTGGCCACATGTCACTTCGAGTAGCAGCAAAGCTCCTATCCAGCCACCAGTCTCGAAGAGAAGATGCACCAAACCCACGGTTGACTCGGTGATCGCGGAGTATTCACCATTCACCTGGAGCCGATTTACAACGATTTTAATAATTTTTAATATACTTACAGTATATCTTAGTATACTTAAATCATATCTTAAATCTTCTTAAATCATGTACGGTAAGTGAGAAGCAAGTGCCTTGAATGAAAAAAATGCTTCGAACTGTTTGCAGCTTCTTCACTGATCCCTACCTGGGTTAGGAGCACCTTTGCGCCGAGCAATTCCACTCCAAGGAGGAACTGGAAAAGATTACTGATGAGTCCTCCAGCAAGGCAACGCGAACTGCCGTGCATTCCAACTAGAAAACACAGAGTACTGACTCAACACCTTCCAGGAGATCAGCAACTCAACAATCAGAGACAAGCTATCGCAGCCTGGTACTAGAAGCCCATAGCTTCCAAGTAAAGTGGCGATGCAAAGGTAGGTGGGTCGCGTTGAGGATTTCGCTGGTGGCATAAACCTGAGGTGACCAGCCGGTCAGGGCCTACGCACTGCACAATGCAACATCTGCGACCAAGGCACGCATCAAGAAGGAGACCCACAGCAACAACTACAAAGGTGGCGACAATGCACACAATCACCTGGACACTCGATGGCGACCGTGCCACCCCATACACTGCCATACACCATCTTACACCGTCTTACACCGTCCTTCACCCTGTGAAATTTATTAAAATTAAAATATGTCAAAATCATGCTCCCAGCCTGCTGGTTGATAACTCTTTTGCTCGGAGGCGGCAAGTCGAAGCTGTCCACTGCCATGTCTCCTCCAGCTGGACAATCTGAGAATCACTTCACTGAGGCCATGGATCTGAACCTAAGCCTCACATGATTTCGGGTTCCTAGGAAAGCTCTAGCCATAGAAGATGTCATCGAGTCGACCTTGCACAAATGTCTTGCTTTGCGTGTCATCAAACTGCAGGCAGCGTGCTATGTACTGTCTGTGTACTCATCTTTCGGCCTTTCAGCACCAGTTTATCTCTGTACACTATGCTCCCAACTGCAGATTCTGCCGCATTTGTGACCGCTTCGGTCGCTGAAGATGCAATGTCGCCCAAAGGGCCCCATTGGACCTGTGCCAGACAGCCAAAGCGTCACATGGCAACATGGTGAGCAACTCCAGCTCTTTCGAGGAACATAAAATGATATTTCAAAACAATATGAAGATATTATAGTTACAGTATTTGAAATGATAGCCAATGAAGGAACCGAGAAAGTACTGTGCGGTGTCTTTTTGTGCCCATCAAGCAGGCAGAACTGGCTTCAAGTTCAGGTTCTTTGGTGGGGCTGCATATTCACTGAGGGGGTGCACGCTGCCACTACTGAGTCACTACTGGTATACTTGCCTGAGGGGTTGGGTTTTCTCCAGATTTGCTGCAAGCAGAAACGGCATCAACGGCAGAAAGCCACCTTCTTCCTTTCTTATACGGTGGCCAACCCTAAGAGCTTCGCAAATTACAATATCAGGCGGTTGACTGGGGAGGAATCAAGAACAACCCTGAGGTTTGCCAGGATTAAGTTCTGGACATCACTTCCGTGCGGAAAGAAGTGTTGTTTTCTGATTTTCCAGTGGTGTCTTGTAACAAAACACTCTTGCCGCGAAAACGCAAGTAAGTACTCAATTTAAAACTGTGAGTCTAGAAAAAAACGCAAGACTTTCAAGACCAATTGCAACAAAACGCTATATTTGTGCAGAAGAACATAAATGTATGTACGTACGTACGTACGGATGTATGGATGTATGGATGTATGGATGTATGGATGTATGCGTGTATGCGTGTATGCGTGTATGCGTGTATGTGTGTATGTGTGTTTGTGTATGTCTGTCTATGTATGTATGTATGTCTGTCTGTCTGTCTGTCTATGTATGTATGTATGTATGTATGTATGTATGTATGTATGTATGTATGTATGTATGTGCGTATGTATGTGCGTATGTATGTGCGTATGTATGTGCGTATGTATGTGCGTATGTATGTGCGTATGTATGTGCGTATGTATGTGCGTATGTATGTGCGTGTGTATGTGCGTATGTATGTGCGTATGTATGTATGAATGTATGTATGAATGAATGTATGACAATGTATGACAACAAATGACAACAAATGACAACAAATGGCAACAAAATAACTTAAAATAACAACAAATGACAATGTATGACAATGTATGACAATGTATGACAATGTATGAATGTATGTCTTTATAGAACATTGTATAATATACAGTACGTTTTGTTTCCATGGGCGAACTTGCGTGTTGGAGACAAGAAAAGTTTCCAGAATATGTAATTTGAAAGGAATGTGCTAAGATAAATGCCGACGTTATGGCACAAAATCAGTGATATTGATGAGTGTGTCTTGTGCCAGACAGTGTCCAGACAGTGTCGCATTGCATCACACCGGTGACATTTTTGCCATGAGCTGCAGAGACTGCAGAACAAAGCTGCGACGTGAAAATGGCAGGTACAGACTGACTGTGAAGAAAAACAAAAATGCCGACCACTACATTCCACGCAAGGGAATTTCAAAGGCTTGCTGACTGCGTTTGAATGAACTGTTATAGAATTGTCCATTTTGGAAACCGACGTCGATGCCCAGCCACCCAATTATCGCAGGGAGTTCGGACATCAACATCCAGGTAACCAACATCTTTAGTTGTCATCGAAAACCCAAGGAGTTTGTGTAGTGGTGCCGGTTTCTTCCTGCGTCGCTAAGGAAGACAGCACCTGGAATTGAATGGTGTATATACTTGCGGAAATGCTCGGGCAAACAAGGCAAAGATCCAAGATTGCACACAACATCAGAAGCCTCCAGATTACTGACCGCTGTTGCCCTTGCTCTTCTTTTTGTGTTTGTTAGTGGCTTGCGTGTTCAAGCAACATATTTTTAAAAAATCCAAAACGGAGTACACTTCGGCAAGGGGTACAAGTGGTTGGTAAGCCTGTTGAAACCCAACACCTAACGTCTCAGCAGGTTTTGCCCCTTCATGAACGCGTCCTATCATCTGCACCCCATTGCACGCAGTAAATTGTTTTGTGGTTAGCCTTTTAGCTTGTCTTGTCTCTACAATCTTTTTGCATGACCCACACGCGAAGCCGCGCCTCATGCTCCAGCTTCTCAGTAGCCCGCTGCGATTGGGCACGAATGCCAAAGTGGTTGACGGCACCAGCACTCGGAGCGGTTGCAAGAAATATGAAGAGCTTCACAAAGGACCCGAAGGACGCAAAGCCAAAGGATCGAAAAGGTTTCGTGTACACTAACGGGCAAGCCAAAAGCGTGGTCATGGCGAGCCAAGGCAGTGAAGGTCTACTTCTGCCTTGAGCCTACATCAGGCTGGGAGCGCAGGATCGAATTGACTTTTCTGCACTCAGAAAATTAACTGATATTGTCTCAGATTGTCTCAGATTGTCCCAGATATGCGCAGCATTTGCACACCTGTACCTCCAAATCACAGGCCAAGGATCTGCCCTCGGGATCGTAGAACACGACGCCTGAACAAAAGTCACAAAGGGAACGTTGAAGTTGATGAGGTTTGATGCGGGCGCAGGATCGGATCAATTCACTCGAGTATTTTCCTCTCCATCTTCCCTTCCAAGACTGGTGGGCAGAATCCCGGGATGCCCTATGAAAGACTTTTTTCCATTGAAGCTACCTGACCACTTCTACAGCATAGTTTTCCAAGGAGGAAACAGTGACAGCTCGTCAACATTTGTCAACGTCGGCATCGTTTGCCTTGCTCAACTGCTGCAAGCAGCCATGGAGGCTGCTCCGCAGGCGCAAAGGTGACCTTGCGTGCGATACAGAGCGGCATGTGCCTGCAGTGCAGGGCAACATAACTGGCTACAATCCTTTAAGAACCTATACATTTATACATGCAAAGAATATGTATATTATGTGTGTGTGTTGCATTATTATCATTAATCTATATTGGTATTATGATTATTGTATATTATATAATGTATGTATATATAATATATACTCTTCTATAGCGACGCTATGATCTTTTCTGCCAATTACCATTCGAATCAGTAGCTTTGGGCCGGAACGGAGAGTTGCCTAGAAACAACGCCAAGCCCTGCAAACCCACGTGATGACGGATGAGGACGACCACATCTACTTCCGCAGGCCCAATCCAACTCCCGAGTTAGGACAAGCCACGCCCATATCTTTTGCTGCATGCATCCAAGGTGGTGTGCCTTGGGCCTGGAATTTCAGAGTATTTCAATGTGACATATCAATATATCTACAATATAATTCAATATATCTACAATATAATTCAATATATCTATAATATCTATGTATCTCTCTCTCCATCGCCATCTAGATAGTTATATCTTTTTCAATCTTCTGGCTCGTACAAATAGAAATAAAACCACCCAAAAATCAAAGAAGTAGAACAGAATAGAATTGAATAGAATTGTCGCTTCGCTACAAGGACTCCAGTGACAATTGCTTGGTTGTCTCACAGTCTCGCTGAGCAAGGTTCATGACAGAACTTCCAAGGCATGACTAGCCAGAAGCTGGGTCAAGGCCAAACAGTCTTCACATTCCGACTGGAGGACCAGTCCAGATTCTACCCAGTACCGAGCCCACTGATTCTGCAGTGTGTGGGAAATATTGGGAAATGGAGAATAAAATAAAATAAAATAAAGGTCAACTACAATGCTCCTCCGGAAGTGGGAACTGTGAATTACCCTAGCGGGCAACTCTCAAGCATTCGTGCTGAGCTTCTTAGAATCATCAACTTGCAGGCCTTCAAGCAAGATCCCGGCAGACTTCATGTTCATTAAGCCATTTTGCCAAAAAATAAAAAAAGCAGATCGCTTGCATTCGCTTGACCCTGTCACCAACCCACACCCATCCGCCCACCCACCATCCTCTTGAAGCAGGGCATCAAGCCCTTGCGCAAGTTCAACATGCGTCTACGCGACCCACACGCCACACCACCACATGCGTTAGCAAGTTCAGGAGATGTTGATAGGAGCTCGCAAAGAAAAGGGGGAATGAATTTACAACATTGGCGAGTCTCCACTGCTCACAATGACCAAGAAGCTCATCACTGTCACTGCCTACTCGGCCTACTCTGCAGATAAAGTGGGTCAACTGACCCTCGGACTTGGACTGATTTGACCAGCACTGACCTACCGGTACAACTTGGTATGTCCGTTCGCCCCTGTGGGCATGTTCCTGCCTACCTGTACCCATACATTGCTCAAAGTCTATGGGTTGGGTAGTTTGGGCGGCTCATTGCTAACTATAATGAACCATCTACAGCTTCATATTTAGTTTATAGCAAATACGTTGAAATATGTATGTTAAAATTATAATGTTTATAGATTGCCGTATTTGCCGTTTATGTTTCAAAGCAACTTTCCGTATGAAAATACAGGCATCCAACTAGCGCTCAAACAATAGCGCTCAAACTCTCTAACCCCAGTCTGTTTGGGCAGCCCTCTGGTACATGGAAAAAGCACCAACGGACAATATGAACCGTACAACTCAAACATTCCATCGTCACAGTCATCAAATCCGCAGCGTTCTGCAGCCTCGTCCTCTTTCGGTTCCATGATTTGCGCAATAGAACCTGCCAGGAGGCACATGACCGGGGAGTGGACGCACAAACTTGACTGGAGGACTTGTGAACGCATCAGCTTGGGAGAGTAGACAGCTGGATCGATTTGTCATTCGTTTGCGGAATTATGCGGAATTGGCAACTTGAGGAGCACACCTGCAAAAACCTGGCAACAGTTGACTTGAACAAAATGGCTGTGGCCAGGCAAAAAGACTTAAGCATACAAATTTCAGCAAGTGATGGCGGAAAGGTATGTATAAGTGAGTGTGTGAATTCTCGTTCCTGAACTTGCTGAAAGGCCCTTTGGCCTTCTGTATGGAAGTAGACGCACCAAAAGGAATGACTATACTTTGGGCATCTTTGGACATGGACTTTGAGCCGAGCACATGTGGTAACTACCAAGGGTAACTAGGAAGAAGCTATTGTATCATATGCATTGGACCTATGATATCATCTATGGGAAAAAAAGCTGGCATGCCTGTATGCCTTAAATCGTCTTACTGCTACGGCTGCAACAGTATCTTCAGATTCTTCATATGAGACTATCATGTGGAATCCTAATGTGCACTCAACTTGATGAGGCAAGCCTGCCCCCGCCAAGCCCATTATGTCAGCCTTGGACCTGCTGAGTCTCTGTGTGGCTTCGAGGTGAGGTTCATCTGAATGCAGAGCGTCATAGAATACATTAGAATACCACAGAGTGTCACAATGTGAGTCTTAGCAATTTGGGAGAGGAGATATGCCTGACCTGCCAAGAAAAACAACGGCTAAAATGTGCTCGGACTGCCAGTGTGACCAGCACCCTGAGACAGTGCCAGCAGCCATTGAAGTCCACACACAGAAATCACACTGATTCTGGCCTGGTGTCCTAAGCCCAGATTTTCACTAGGCTAGTAAGCCGAATTGTCTGAGATGTTTTTTCGCCAACTACTTCTGCCAACCCCTGTGAGAAGTAATTGAGTGTATGGTCTCAATCTTGCAAGAGATTGCAAACATTTGTGCCAGCTCAGCTTACCTCAGCTTTGTGGGATCAAGTGAGGTGAAATGTTTGCTCCACGCCTTGAGTTGCATTCGGTTCCTTCTCTCCGTCTCGCTCTGTCGATATCGGCTTCAACGGGATGGGGGCACTGCTCCGATCTCTTTTGCCAGCACTTTCGGCGTGGAAATCAGCTTCACGCACTCAAACAGTTTGCTTCAAGAACTTCCTTCAGAACTGACAGACCAAAGGAAGCCTGTTGCCATAACCCTGAATATGCAACTATTTGAGTCAAGAATTGCGGGCACTATCACAATTTCAGCGGAGAAAGGTTCCCGGATCACACAGCAGTAGCAGACTTGAGGAAATGAGCGAAATGATTTAAGGGCAATGCAAACAAGCAACGAATCTCACAGCTCTCTATCACTCTGTTTTCCTTCACTCAAAAGGATATGGCGTCACTAAGAAAGCAGGGGGCCCAGGATCTGCATTGCACGCTTTGCATCCGGATGCTTGCCTGAGCCATGCAACGTTTCCAATCTGTCCACTCACAAATCGTTGCACCTCAAAACCCTTAGCTGCCGTTGGAACTTCGGTCCAACGATGTCGAAATACTTTGGTCCGATGCAATTCGAAGGAGTCACTAGTTTCGAGGCGAGGTGCACTTGTCAGGATGACAAAGCCGCATTATGGTCTTCACTGTAGAGCGCTGGTCCTTTGCAGCAGGCAGCCCTGCTTCACTCATACCTCAGACTTGCTCAAGGCTGGAGCGATTCAAGATGCATGCATGCATGCAGGCACGCATTGATGGATGTATGATGCAAGGACGAATGGAGCCATATCTGCGTGCAAGTGTGCAATCATGCGCGCAGTCTGGCATCTTCTGCGGCGCAAAGCAGTGGTGTAACGATGCAGTGTCACTTAACACCAATCAAAGTTATGCAAAGCAATGTAACACGTATGGATGTACGGAGTATGCCCTCGTGTATGTGTGTGTGTGCCCCGAGCACCATATTGCTCTCTCACTGCATCATCCCTGTGACTCCATGCATGCGCCTGCAGTCTGAGAAAGAATGGTGTCATGACTACTGTCAAGAAGTCAAGAAGTAGATGTGCATAGGCTTTGGTGTGACTTTGTCTGTATCAGAGAGTTGCTCTCAAGCCGATTTGGCTCAAGGGGAAACGACGGAGAGGCAATGGATGAGGAAAATTCATCGTTGATTCATCGTTGATTAATGATGATTGATGTTCATTAGATTTCATTAGATTTCATTAGTGTTCATTAATGACACGACTTCCCACGCCGGTTTAGCCAAGCTGAGGGCCAAGCTTACCAAGATATCCTTGGGTCGAGATTCAAAGCGCAAGGCCAGGCGCACAGCCAGGGCCTCAAACAAATGAGATCTCAGGGGTTTTACACAGTAAAAAATGTAAAAGACGGCATACCATACTTGGTTGCCACGACACGATGATTTCAAATTTCATCTCTACAGTCTACAGCTAGCAGTAAAACGTATTTAATAAATAAATGCTGTGTAACTTCGACGCTTGGGCCTCTGAGCCATCAAACTGCTATGTCATATTATGTGACCTAACATTCATGACATTGCAACATATTGCAAGATCTCAAGATATCTCAAGATATCTCAAGCAATAGCTGCAGCCTGCGAAAAGCTGCAGAAGCTGTTAGCTGCATCAGCTCGAGCTTCTGCTTCACACTCTGCAATGACGAGCCTCACAAGTCGCCAAGTCGCACGCTCAGAAAAGCCGACCAATATATACATGTATATTATATATACATACATACATACATACATACATATATATATATTGGATCACGTCAGCGATCCATTCTAAGGTTTGTCAATGTTGCTTTAAATTTTCATGCGATTACTGCCAGGATTCACTACCGAACAAACAGTGAAGCTGAAGGAAGTCAAGAATGTTTCAGTTGTTTTTTGGTTCACTGCGCCCATTCTGGCCCAGACTTTCTTGGTGCGTGTCGTGGAGGAGATGCTGGCCTCTCAGCAGTAAAAGGCTGGCAGCGAGTAGGAGTTTCTGACAAAGCAGCCATGACAAGCTCCCTCAAATCATCTGAAAACTACAGGAGTAACCTGAACCAACATTTACTTGTGGGAATCTGGCTGCCGACAAAGGGATCACGGGCCTGGTGTATTTTTCGGTAGTTTTTTATGTATATAGTTGTTTGCAGTTTCACACACCTATGTGAGTGAACGAGTCGAGCTGATATCCAGCCGCTTGGCTTCTTGATTCTGACATCAAAGTTACTCTAGCCCCTGGGCCATGGACGTGTTTCGGCTTGGCAGCTCGCGTTGGAAGCGATCGCCTGGGAGACAACACCTACCCGTGCAGTGCCACGTTCTTCTAATCACATTTTTCTTCTTCCACCTGCTTGTGGATTTTGTATTTTCATTGAAATCCTCACGCGTGCAAAATATATTATATTATATTCTATTTTATTATATTATATTACATTACATTATAATTATTCTGTTGTATTATATTATATTGTATTATGTTTTAATGCATTATACTAATTTAAAAACATATCAGACTATGCTATTTTAAATTCTATTACATGTTAAATAATAATTTTACAGTCTACTTAGATATATACATATATATATATATATGTGTGAGAGAGAGAGAGGGAGAGAGAGACATATATATATATATGTGTGTGTGTTTATATATTGTGAGAGAGATCTATCCGCCGACCCTGGCAGACGCAAGGGGGAGCGCGCCAGGGAATAAGAGTTCCAACACCAACGCCAACACCACAATCATGACAACCATAACAACCAACACCACAACAACAACAACAACAACAACAACAACCACAACAACCACAACAACAACAACAACCACAACAACCACAACAACCACAACAACCACAACAACCACAACAACCACAACAACCACAACCACAGAAGCCAAAACACACAAGAACAGGAGCCAGCAACGAGAGCAACAACCACAACAACAACAACAACAACAACAACAACAACACCAACAAACACCAACAACACCAACAAACACCAACAAACACCAACAAACACCAACAAACACCAAACAACAACAACCACCACCACCACCGCCACCACCACCACCACCAGCAACAACAACAACAACACCAACACATACCTTTCAGTTCTCTGCTGCTGGACCCCTTTTTGAGCCGTGAGCGGCCGAGATCCTCCAAAAAGGAGGCCACCGCCACATCAGCTCAGACCTTTACCTTTTTCCAGGTGCTGGACCCCCTTTTGAGCCGTGAGCGGCCGGGATCTGCCACAAAGGGGCGCCACAACCTGACGTCAAACTAGCTGCCATTTGGTTCTTTTCAGCGGCCTTGCCACACACAGAGGCTGTACCAGTGTCAGCTCTCTCTGTTCCTGCCCTCTGTGGCTTGTGAGCGTCGCTTTCTCTTTGTGGCAGATCCTTTCCCGAATCACCATTCAGAACCAGGTTTGCCGAGCACACTTTTTGTACCAGTCTGGCCTAGCTCAGTCGGTAGAAGCAGTACAGTTTCCCATCACAGAAGCGGAGGTCAAGTTCAAGCCCTTGCATTGTAGTAGTGCAGTAGAAGCAGGCCAAGCATAAAAGATCTTCAGCGGGATCCTCTTGCAAAGATGCAATGCACTGTCTCTGCGCCAAAGAGACAGCAAGTTGGAGCCTCGCATTCTAGTGGCGTGACCGGTCTATATCAGTACAAGAACCCAAGAGCGAAAAGAGATCACATAGGTACGGTTCAGGAGAGCGGAGAGACAGAGACAGACAAACAGAGAGAGAGAGAGAAAAGAGAAAACCTTTTCTCTGTGCAGGCAAAGGCCAGCAGGAAAGAAAGGCTCATGACCTCAGGTGGGGTTGGCCCTTCGACCTTCAGGTTAAGGTCCATCTGCCCTACCGACTGAGCTAGGCAGGCCTGGCATAAAATGTGTGCTTGGCAAAAGTCGTTCGAAAAGATGTTTCGGAAAAGGATCTGCCACAAAGAGAAAGCGAGCAGAGAGGGCAGGAACAGAGAGAGCTGACACTGGTACAGCCTCTATGTATGGCAAAGCCACTAAAAAGATCCAAATGGAAGCTAGCTTGACGTGAGGTTGCGGCGCCCCTTTTTGGAGGATCCCGGCCGCTTACGGCTCAAAAAAGGGTCCAGCACAAGGAAAAAGGTAGAAATCTGAAATCAGATGCCGCTGGACCCCTTTTTGGAAGATCCAGAACGCCGGCAACACAAAAAGGGGCCCAGCAGCTAGAAAATGAAAGGCTGGATCATGGAACTCCAAACGAACAGGCTGCGGGACCTCTTTTTGCCAGATTTGGGCTGCAGGATCCCCAAAAAGGGCTCCAGCAGCTAGAAAATGAATGGCTGGATCATGGAACTCCAAACGAACAGGCTGCGGGACCCCTTTTGCCAGATTTGGGCTGCAGGATCCCCAAAACGGGGTCCAGCAACCTGAGAAATCACACTGATACAAGGCGAACCTGCTGGACCCCTTTCTGCAAGATTTCGGCGCCAAAAAGGTCCAAAAAGGGGCCCAACAAGCTTTTACAAAGCTTAAAAAAAGAGCCAAAAGTCTGCGCCAAAAGTCTTTTTTAAAACGGTGCAAAACTCCAAGGACACCCTTAAGGGGCACCAAGCAAATTCCAAAATAAGCTCGAGTACCTTATTCTGAGGGCCCCAGTCTTTGTTTGTACCAACAACAACAACAACAACAACAACAACAACAACAACAACAACAACAACAACAACAACAAACACCAACAACCACCACCACCACCGCCACCACCACCACCACCAGCAACAACAACAAAACACCACCACCCGCAACAACAAACAACAACAACAACAACAACAAAAACAACAACAACAACAACATCATCACAAAAACAACAACAGCCGCAAACAGCCGCCGCAACCGCAACCGCCGCCGCAACCGCCGCCGCAACCGCCGCCGCAAACCGCCGCCACCGCCACGCCCGCGCTGCACCGCAACCGCAACCGCAACCCCCCACAACCCCAACCCCAAGCCCAACCCCAAACCCCAAAGCCCCCAAGCCCAAGCCCAAGCCCAAGCCCAACCCCAACCCCAACCAGCCACCACCACCACAACCGCAACCACAACCACAACCACAACCACAACAACCAGGACAACGACAACAACAAGCACAACCACAACCACAGAAGCTATAGCACGCAAGAACAGGAGCCAGCAAGGAGGGCACAGGCGGCAGGGAGGGGGGCACGGAGGCGCATGAAGACACGTTAGGCACATAGCTTAACATAGGCCCAACCTGGGCCAATATAGGCCCAAGATGCAACAACCTGCGCTCAACATAGGCCCAGACTGCTTCCATACAGGCAAGCAGCTCCCTGGGTTTGCGCAGAGAATCTCGGCCCAATCTTCCCATAAGCCAAAAGTCGTTGCTTGGCCTGGCCCGGCTGTCAGGCGTAAACCTTTAAATCCGGGCGCCGGCCACGCAGACCGTGTCCTTGCCGGAGGCCTTCGGTGGTAACCGAAAGTTATAGACGCTCGCCGCCCCTGCCGACCCACCCCCGGTTCACCCCGTGTCGACTCCCCCCGACTGAAGGACCTGTAATTTACGGTGTTTTTTGCTTGCGGTGTTAAAAAAACATCGTTTTTTTACGGTGTTTCGGGCCCGTCAGTGGCCACGGATTTTATCTTGGCGATGTTCAAAAACATCGGTTTTTACCTTGTTTTGGGCTCGAGGAGGGGCCCGAGAAGGACAAATTGGCATCTTAAGATCGTTTCAACATAGATGGCCCAGACATGGCCCCAACATTGCTCCCAAGATGGCTCAACATGGGGCGACATGGGCCCAACATACGCCCAACATGGGCCCAAGATGAGCCCAACATAGGCCCAACCTGGGCCAATATAGGCCCAAGATGGGCCCGATGGCTCAACATGGGCCCGACTTGGCCCAACATAAGCCCAAGATGCCAAGATGGCTCAACATGGGCCCGACTTGGCCCAACATGGGCACAACCTGCGCTCAACATAGGCCCAGACTGCTTCCATACAGGCCAGCACTGCGCATTATGCTTCCCTCAGTTCAACATAGCTCTCCCTGGGTTTTCGCGGAGAATCTCGGCCCAATCTTCCCACACCATAAGCCAAAAGTCGTTGCTTGGCCGGCGCCCGGCTGTCAGGCGTAAGCCTTTCAATTCGGCTCCGCCGGCTCTGCACGAGTGGCTTTCTCCACGAGCGTCCCAGAGCGACTAAAGCTCTATGGTGAGGGGCGCCCCAAGCCGACGACCCTCCGAAAATCCTTCACTTTGCTGAGGGAAAGCTTTTTGGACGAAATCCGGGTCGCTCATAAGCGCCTCCGAGAGCATTCCCCCCCCCCGTTTTGAGGGTACCTAAAATCGGAAAAAAGTGCCGTTTGACACATTTTTCGGACGAGTTTTAGCTTTTCGAATTAACAAAATGCTGTAAATGACAACAATTTTGCGTTTTAACGTCTTTTGCGGGAACAATGCAAAAACGCAGAAAATGCTGTGAATACAAATACTTTTTAGACTAGAGATGCACATAACACTGCAAATACCAGTGTTTTTGAAGGCAAAGCAAAAAAAAAACACTGTAAATTATATACATCATTTTTGACAGGTTGATCACAAAAAATGCTGGTATTTACACAGTTTTTGGAATGTCAAGAAAACATGGAAGGCGCAAAACACTGTAAATTGCAGTGTTTTGTCAACTTTTGGACGCTGAAACGCTTGTATTTACGCAGTTTTTGCCCGTGACAGTACCAAACCCCTGTAAATTACATAACTTGTTGCACTTTTTGAACCGATTGCTTGCCTTGATGAATGCAAAAAAAAACTGCTGGTATTTACGCGTTTTCAAATCGAGGATCGTGACGTGAGCGAAACCCTGTAAATAACAGTGTTTTAGCCACTTTCGGGGAGTAAAACTGTGGTATTTGCGCGGGTTCTTGCCATCTGACAGCGCAAAATGCTGTAAATTACAACACTTTGTGCGCTGTTTATGTTCAATTTTTGAACGAGCGATGCTTTCACATGTTCTTGGCATTCTTCGGCAAGAAACGACGTTACAGATTGAAACTAGACGACAGCGTGGCCCGAAAGAAAGCTGGAGGGAGGAGACAAGAAGATAGCACACAAGAAAATATGATGATGCATGCTGCTGGTGAGGAGCTGTTACACAGACGCGTTTACACACAGACGCTTTTACGCACAAGCTTTTGCACAGAGAAGTCTTTATACAGACTGGCTTGTACACGCAGAAGCTTTTCGCAGAGAGAAATCTTTACACAGAGGAGCTTTTACGCACGGAAGCTTCTTCTCAGAGAAGTCTTTACACTAAGGAGATTTTGCACACAAACGCGTTTACACAGAGGAGCTTTTACACACAGAAGCTTTTACACAGAGAAGTGATTATACACACAGACGCGTTTGCACACAGAAGCGTTTGCACAGAGAAGCCTGTACACAGAAGCTTTTGCACACAAGGGCGTTTACACACAGAAGCTGTTACATACAGACGCTGTTACACAAAGAAGTTTTTACACAGAGAGCTTTAACCCACAGGCACGTTTACAGACAGAAACTTTTACGCAAAGAAGTCTTTACACAGAGAGCTTTTACACACGGAAGCTTTCACACACAGAAGTTTTTACACAGAGAAGTCTTTACACAGAGAAGCTTTTACACGCAGAAGCTTTTTTCACACAGAAGTTTTTACACATCCATGAATATGTTCAAAAAAGTATAAGGAATTCAGGAATGATATATTTCTGAAGCAGGTCATCATTCAATAGCTTTCAAGCCCACCCTGCGACATCGAGAGTCAAGTAATCCAGCGGAGCCGACGATGAGCGCCAGCTCTAAAATGTGTGTGTGTGTTATATAAACATGCATACATAAAATCAATTAAAATCATATATGGTATTGGCCGTCCTTTTAAGCTAACTTACTTCGATTGCCAGTGGATATTTGATATTTGCGGGACTTCACTCAAATTGCATGGTAAATTACTGTAAATTACTGCTCGACAGTATGTGCAAATGTGCCTGCTACAGCACTTGTAACATGTAATCATGAAAGATAATGCAGCAAATAATAAGTAGATTAACTAGCATGTCTGCTAATTACTATGTCATCTATACATCGAACATAAATAGCAACTACTATACTAGTGGACCCCGACAGTCTTTTTCACTTCCAAGTTTCCACGGCTTGGTTCTCTTGGTGGTGAAGGTGGTGCAGCCTGTCCCAAGGCAGACTGGAATGAGCTCCACAAGATCCCCATGAAACCGATGGAAACCGTGCGAAGCAATGGTGAAGTAGGGATGCAATGCTGAAGCGATGGAATGGATCGCCTCTGCCCAGCCCAGACCCCAAGCTTTGAAGCCGCCTTCGGCTCCCAGCGCTGTGTCGCATGGTTGAACTGATAGTGTGTCTTTGGCTTTGGTTTGGCCTTTTGAAACTGTTCACCTCAACGGCTCAACGGACCCCTTTCGGGAGAATACTGGGAAAACATGAGAAAACAGGGAAAACTTACAAAGTCTTACAGATCGAGCTTTCGATCTCAAAGCTCCACCATGCTCCACCAAAAATGTGGCCAAAGGCACCTGTGTCCAGCGGTCTTGCTTTCTGTTGTGGCTGCGTTTCCTCTGCCATCCTGGCGGCTCAAACGGCTTTCAAATCTCAGACCAAAAGACAACAAAATGCACTAAATTCATCAAAAGCTATATTTAATGATCCCTTCCCCCTAATACTAAACGTCCCCCCCCTCCCCCCTAATAATAAACACCTCAGGTAGTTTTTATTTTTAGGGTGGTATTTCTTATTAGGGAACCCTATTAGTCAATTTAAAACTTTAATAATAAAAACTAGTTTGTTCGATGTCAAAATCAGTTAAATGTCCTTATATAACGCAATTAAAATATTGCCAAAAATTGGTTTTCGAAGCGGGCCCTAATAATAAATTAAAAGCCCTAATATAAAAAACTAAAAAAAATCGGACGGACCCGAACAATAGACACCCCGGGGTTAACTAGTTTTTTTTCTTAGGGGGCAACCCACAAATGGTAGCTTTATTTCTAAATTGTTTTCTAAGGGGGGTCAATTAAAAGTCAAATTGGCCAACCTGAAATTTTCCAAACTGGGAGATGGACCCTAGTTTTTAGTATTTGGGGGACGTTTAGTAATAGGGGGGAAGGATTACATACATGTTATATATACATATTATATATCTATATATATATATATGAGATGTGTGTGTGTGTGCTGAAATTTGGCTGCTCAGTCCGACTCAGTCCCTTCTGAAGGCTCTAGTTTCTGCATGACGCTGGCCTTGATGGTGCAGAGTTCCCTTCCCTCTCCGCAGCTCGTAACATTTCAATGAGAGAGTCAAACGCACCCTCATCCTCACCATCATCCTCGCATGTGCATTGGCAATCATCTGATACTTTCCGCTACTTTACTTTTTCCACAGCCTTTTCCACAGCTTGAAACCAGTCTATGGCCTCCATACCAACTGCCGACTCAGCTTCAGCAAAGGGGTTGTACTCCTGAGGCTCCTTGCCCTGCGGCAATCAAAATCTGAATGATCAAGAACGTTTATTCTTTCATCAAATCACACCCTGAGAAACATATGGATGGGATTCACTTCAATTTTTTTCTGCGGACCTGTGCCCCTGCGAAAGGATCATAGTCGGACTCTTCTGTAGGCGCTTCGGTGTCAGCATCATCATTGTCCGGTGCCTCCACTGGAAATCGTCTCAGCAAGCCAAAAGTCAGTCCAATCGGTATACTATCAGTGTATCAGTATAATCAGTCGATCAGAATGAATAGTATTGAATTGAGAATGACTCTTTAAAGTCTTTTGCAAGTTCACTCTTCCCCCTCTCGCTGAGCTAGGTCAGTCCACAGACTTGGCCTGAGGCGAAGCCGATGGCTCTGTCGGATCGTCGGCCTCTTCCTCAGAGAACGTATGATTTTTTCCAGCGACAAAGGAGCGACAGCCTTGACACATCTTGACGCATCTTGACACCAGTCAAGCCAAGAAACATCCGGCTGGTCTCGGTGCCTGCTCGGCCTTCCATCACCTTCGGGCTTCACAGTGTTGTCTGGTTTTCAAAGTCACATCCTTTCCCGCACTGTGCCTCTGCATCTTTCGCTCTTGATGGGACCAAACTTGTTACTAGTATTATTGATTATCGAGGATTGTGTAATGATGTAATCTAGAACTTGGCTGAGATAAATTTGGTCTCTGGCTGTCATGTTTCCATGACTTGCCTGGAGCTGGGCTGGCAGACTCCCACGGTTGCCTTAGACCACTGGAAAGCATGTCTCCGCAGGACATTTGTCCCAGTGACTCTTGCTCAGGAGTATTGACTCTTTCAATGCCGAGCAGTGCGTAAGATATTATTACTATTTGTATAAATCGGTTGCTGACTTTCGCCTTGCCGTTTTTTACACGCCTCGGGTTGAGCGCATACATTCTTCTTGTGTTTGCCCTACTCTGCACCACTTTCCACAATCGTGAAGGACACCTTGGGCAAACCCGAAGGGGGTTCTTTCCTTCTTAAGATTGTTCAATTTACAATGTGTGCAAATATGATCAAATGCGTGCTATGTGCAAATACTTCACGCATGTTCATTGTCCTGATCCAAGGAAACTCCTTTTTGAAGAGTGAGAATGACGTGCAGGTGCATCCTTTTTGTGCAACACCTTTGATTGGACAAAATCCTGACAAGGGGTGCTGCATTTGCATTGCATTTTACGAGCCAGGATTTCCAATTATGTTTGAATCGCTGTCCGGAGTTTCCTGCTAGACTTGCAAGGAGCAGGATCACCTTAACCTACCTGTTGTGGCCCTCGGTCAATCAGTACTCTCTCTCACTCTCTCTCTCTCTCTCTCTGTCGCTGGGCGTAGCCGTCCATCCGACCGCCTCACAGAGGCGCCCTGCTAGAGACCAAAGGCACTTCAGTGCAATCAGTTGATCTATCACTCTTTGGAACATTTATCACCCCTGCACATTCAACCAACAAGGCCGAAAGCAATGAGCAATGACTCTACATACTGTATTCCGTCCAAGTTGCGCTTGAGAACCTGGATGGAGATTTGGATGCACTGGCCGCACTGGTTGCATTGGCTGGACTGGTTGCATTGGCTGCACAGGAGCATGAGCCAGCGGCAAGCTATGAGGAAAGCCCAGTCGGACATGAAAGGAATCGAAGGATGGGAGCTGTGGCTGGTGCGGCTGGCGCACTTGGCCATGAAGGTGCGGCAGAGGCACTGACTGGGCAGGCCAGCCGGGCAGCCCTGGCAGCCCTTGCGGCCGCCCCGGCGACTGTGCGTCGTGACCCCAAAACTTCGCTCCTTCACTTGGCCTCTGCTCAGGTTTTGATCAGACTTTCGAATCATGAAAGCGGCGCTGAAAGCCCACGAGAAATCAATTCGTGCAACTGAAAGCTTTGATGATTCTGTGCAGCTGAAGGGCTTTGAGTTTTGATCATCAGCTTTGACACCGGGGTCCTTCAATGATGCAGTCTCTCGGCACATGCCAGACTCACCCCCTTGAGATTCTCAAGACAAAGGTTTCACTTGTCACTGCCCTCCATGCAAAACAGATCAAAACAGAGGAGCCTGCCACATGCGCATATAGCGCGACCTTTCTTCTTGCTGCCTCAAGTTGACTCGGGCTGCGGCAGAAGTGTAGCTGTCTGGCGACATAGCTATGCGCCGACTATCTTTTCTCCCTCCCGATGTCTCCCTCTCCCTGGGCCTTGCTGCTTCGGCTTCAGCCGCCCTGCGCTCCTTTGCAGTGCTGCAGCTTTGGAACGCATAACCAACGCTAGCAGTGCCTAATATGCAACTTGCAAACATGAGAATTTAATAGAATCATAGAGGTGTGAGTCGCGGCCCAGGGCAGCCTCTTCTTCTGCTTCCCTTTTTCTCCTCTCTTCCCGTTCCTTCTCCTCTTGTTGCCTCCTCTCTTCTTCCTCTTGTTTAAGCCGACGTTCTTCTTCTTCTTGCTTTGCTTTTTCCTCCATCTGCCTTGGTCACTGGCCACTTCTTCGAAATTGTTAGGCATCAGCATTGGCTCGCTAAGGAAAGTGCCGCTGCAACTGCTGCTGCAATTCCACCTTGAGCTCCTCTTCAAGTTTCTTCTGCCTCTCTTGCTCCAAACGGTGATGCTCCTAGGGGAACAAGGTCACTTTCAATGTGGATTGGAGGAATGAAACCCGCAATGACGTTCTCTTCCAGCAACAATCCAAGGCACTACATTTTAACCCCTGCCAGTTGCAAACGAAAGCCCACTGGCAGTGCAGGGTCAAACTGCTTCAGTTGCCAGTGTGCATGCTAGACATGCACTTCGTGTCCTGAACTTGCTGTTGCTGCTGTTGCCACTGCTGAAATTGCCTAAAGAGCATGGTGACGCCACTATTGCACCAGAAAAATGAATCTGACACAAGAAGAGCTGACACAGTGATGGCTGTAAAAAAGGTCCCGCAAACCACAGTCATACGTTCTCGCAAGTCCGTACACGTTCTCACAGGTGCTTACTTCACTGACCCTTGACCTCAACTCAATACCAGCCGGGCTGCTGCTGGTACAGATTGACAGGCGTTGGCACTGCAGCTGTTGCAGCTGTTGTGCGGCTCGGCACAGTCCCCCAGGCCATAGAAAACGAGCCTACAAGCAAGACTTTCTAGAGCATAAACATGCAAAAACCAGCCGCCTATGTCCCCAAAGCAAGTTTGTGCATACAAGTCAGTGATACACAACACGAAAGTTCGCTGCGATATGTGGCACTCAGCGGTCCAAAATTTTGTGCTTGAATGCCTGGCATGATTGCACGCATAGGATAGAAATATATCTTGAATGTTCCAGCTGCAGAATGTATGGCACCACAAACTTTCCTCAAATAGCTGCGGCAACAACTTGATCCAAACCGAGCCTCACAACTTGATCCAAACCGAGCCTCGAGATTTCATGGGTGCCTTCGTCTCGGGCGCTTGTGCATGTGCATGTGCATGGCTCGATGGCGCTTCCTCGGGGGCAGCCGCAGGCTCCGCTGGCGCTGGTGGTGCTGGTGGTGCTGGTGGTGCAGCTGGTGGCACTGGTAGCACTGATGGCACCGATGGCACCGGTGGCACTGGCGGCACCGGTGACGGAGGGGACGGAGGGGACGGAGGGGACGGAGGGGGCGGAGGGGACGGTGGTGCCACCGCCACTGCTGGCGCTACACTCACTGGCACTGGTGCTGCTGGTGCCACTGTTGCCGGCATTTCTGGCTGTGGCTGCCATGGCCATGAAGCATGGAAACTTCCTGCAAACGCATCTGCTTGCCCCGCACTCCAACCTCACCATGACACAAGTCTGGCAATGCTCACAACTCCCTTTCAAAAGAACAGTGCAGGAGGTCTTTGCTGCACATTGAAAGGATTCTAGCCTTACCTTGGCAACAGTCAGTAAATGCTCCTCTAAATTTCATCCAAAACACCTGGATCATTGGCTTCTCCGTGTGCAGGATACATTCCTTGCCACTGATCCACGGAAGCAAAGGGAGTGGAAGCTGGCCAAGCTGTAGAAGCCTGATCGATGGTGACAGCTTGTCATGTTCTCAGCTTTCTCCGCACAAGTTAATTTCAGGGGCGCGTCCCCAGCTTCATTTGCTCGGCAACCGTGTGCGCATTATTTGAGATTTGCATCTACTGCAATATTACTACTGGAATTTAGATCTTTTGATTCCAATGCCACACCACTGTAGTAAACTTTCCATCAGCCAAGCTGAGACCGCGTCATAATTCACGAGTTCCATCCAAGCATGATTAAGACTTTAAGACCATGACCGCTTCGGGCTGGGCATCTTCTGGCTGGCTTTCCTGCTCGAGTTGCTCTGGCACTTGTCCATTGACCATACCAGTCTCCGCCTCTCCATCTTCGTCCTCTTGCAGGTCTCATTCACTCCGTTTTAATTGCACAAGGAAACACTGCGTGAGAAAGTGCTGACGGTGTGGCTCTTTGAGGCTCTCTCTATGTGACGCATAACAGTACCATTTCTCGTCCTCTTGTTTGGCGCCATCGTTGTCACATCGATCGAGAACAGTGGGAACAGCAAGCAAAGTATCAGATCAGCACTCATACAACACAAGAGAGGGAAGCATACTGGACGTAATAGGTTTTAAATAGTTTTAAATGTAAAAATGTTCTGAACATAGCAGCAAATTTCCCCCTCTCGTACCATGTTACAATATGCATACTTTTGCCCGGCAGATGAGTCTATTTGTATGTATCCAATACATTCATATCTGCCGGCCTGCCGGCGTCTTTTGTGGATGTTCTTGTGATACATCTTGTGATAGCTTTAGCTTCACCTACGTATAGATTGCTTCTTCGACGGATTTCTGCTTTGGTTTCGCGGATTTTCCTTTTCGCTGCCCACCCCCCGTCCCACATATACACTATATAGAGTATAGTATAGTCTAGTCTCGTCTGGTCTCTTTTCTCAAGGGAACTAGCACTGACCTTATTTACATCATCATGGTCTCGGTGGTCATCGTCATCCTCATCCTCCTCCTCCTCACCATCATCATCATCATCATCATCTTCTTCTTCTTCTTCTTCTCCCTCCTCTGTCATCCTCCCATGTCCGGCTTCTCTTTCGTTCCTCCGGCTCGCCCCTGTGATGCGGTATTTCCACGTTTACTCAACGTGACGGCCCGCTCTCGCCACTGGGATGCAACCTTTCTCCACGTTTTCTCCACGGTTTCCTGCCCCTTCCAAGCAGACGTATGTTCTAACCTGCCGCTTTTGCGCCCAACACTTTCCATAAGCACCTGCCACTGCAGATCCTCCTCTGCACTCACGGCCTTATCCGCACGCACTCTCACAGCCACACTGCTTGCATCTACCCACTTCGCTCCTTCTGTTCTCCAAGGTATTACGCACACCGGCTTCTACACGAACCAACCTTCACACCAACCAGCTTTTACACAAACCCACTTTTACACAAATTCGCTTTTCCACATACCACACACCAGCTTTTACGCAGACCAACTTTTCGACCAACCAGCTTTTACACAAACAATCTTTTGCACCAACTTTTACAAACCAGCTTTTACACAAATCAATTGCTGCACAAACCACCTTTTGCACCAACTAGCTTTTACAACCCAGCTTCTGTACGCACCACTTGTAGGCAAACCAACCTTTTACACCAACCAGCTTTACACAACCATTGCTTTGGGCCTGCAGGCCAAAGGCCAGAGGGCCAGCGGAATGCCGAAGGCTGTTGAATTCAGCTTGAAACCAGGAGGTCACCGTTCCTTCCGTACATCAATGATCTGAGCTCGATGTGGCAAATGGCAACAGGCCTGATGCCTTTCCTTCTCTAGGCTCTTTTCTGAGCTCTGCCTCCCGCCTTCGGAGTTCAGCAAAGTTTATAAGACTGCTAATTTTTAGAATTGACATATAATGCTAGCACAGATGGCACAAATGCCAGGACAAGCGAAGATAGCCACAGGCCTCTCCGCGCGCGGCGCTTTCGGTGCTCGGACTGACCTGGCTTGCGAGTCAGCCATGGCTAGGGAACATGATTTTGTATTTTATATCTTGGGACACCTGAGACTGAGACTTGACAATCTTGACAATATGCATATATAACTTATGTAACTATATAAGTGTATATATCATTATATATCACACGCTGAAAGAGAGAGAGAGAGAGAGATCTGCACGCAAAAAAGAATGCTTTCAACTCATTCAACTCATTCAACTATCAACCTTTGGCCCTTTGGCCACTGAGACGCGAACTTCGCGACTTGGATGCATCCCTGCGACGCCGCTTCCGCTCTTTGCGCCGCGTCCGGCTTGAGCGGCTGCGCCGCTTCTTCCGGCGGACAGCACCTTTCAATCAGCTGGCTCCACTCAACACATCTGTCAACGACTGTCAACATCGCGCAAAATGTCACATATTCTCACATGGTCACACATATTTTCAAAAAAACGAAATCAGTGATTTTGCGATCTTCTTGCCAAAAGAGCAGCTCGCGGATCGTTCGTCTCTTCGTTGATTGCCACGGCCATGGTCTTTTCTATGAGAACTCCGGGCAGATCTTTGCCTGCCAACAAGTGTGGACTTGCAACCCACCATGGCCATGACTCGCAGAAATCATTAGTTGATTGAATCAGGGTAGCAGGAACCGCTCTTAGTGGAACTCCTGTCACTTTGTTCTCACTGTTCTTGCCTTGCGTTGGCAGCATCCTCCCAAAATTGCAGCTCTTGATACCCCGCGTGGATCGAAAATAATGATTCAATGCTCAGGCAGAAAAACGTGTTGGGAAAATCTGGAAGCACAGCATGTCTGCCAAACACAAAAGTGTCTCCAGCCAGGAAGGCTGTCCTCTCGCAGTCGTTGGGCTTCTCTCTCTTCGAGTTCGAGCCTTTCCAACCTCTCCTCCTCTTCCCGTTCTTCCCGTTCTTCCCGTTCTTGCCGTTCTTGCCGTTCTTGCCGTTCTTGCCGCAAGCGCTCCTCGGCCTCAGCCTGGGCTTGGGCAGCCTGGGCGGCGGCCTCTTCTTGAAGCCTTTCCTCCAGAGCCTCCTGTCGCTTGCGCTTCTCAGCCTGCCAGGCTTTCAGATTCTTCAGGGTTGCTGTCAGTTGCTGTGTAAGAAACATCGAGAAACCTTCCTTTGGTTTTCAGGTGTTGGCTTTTCTAATTACTTCCGCTTGGTCAGAACCAGTATATAACCTCATGGTTGAATGAGGCAAATGGCGGACAGGTCAACTTTCGCCCATGCCGAAAGGACGCATGACAGCGTGGTGTGCAGGTGAAAGTACTATTCACCAGCTATCAGCATAAATCAGGAAGAAATGCATCAGGAATTATTGAGAAGTTCTATAGTGTTCTAGAACATCCACAAATCTCATGGAATATCACGGAAAATCATGGGATCAGTTGGCCAAATCATCTCCCAGAAGACTCTTTGTGCGTGGCAGCTCTGTGCATGCACAGATGTCCGTCTGTCTGCCCGTCCGTCGAGTCTATAGGTTGTTCCTCGAAATTCTGCGATTGGGTTTTCTAGCTTGGTTGGCTTTCTTCAAGCCTAGTGACCATAATCGGGCAAAGCCAAAATGCCAGCTATGAGCTGGCCAGCAGCACTGGAAAATTGTCGGCAGAGCTGTTTTCTGTCCAATTTGCCGCATGAGGGGAGAAAAAAAACACAGTTTTTCTGGCACCTGTTGACATGTTGCTTTAAGGCTGTCCGTTGCAAACAAATATGCTAGATTTACACCAGCTGTCCTTTTGCTTTGCCAACACTGTGTCCACAAAAGTTGTGATTCTTCAGGTCTCAGTGAAGACACTGGTTGACCTTCAAATAAAGTCTTCACTCAGACTTACTTGATTCAGGGGTACCGGTGTACGGTGTAGGTATTCTGTCATTATGAAAATTAAATTCCCACCTCTCTCTGCCGCTGCTCTTCCAATTCTCTTTCCTCCTCAAGTTCTCGCATGGCACGAGCCTGCTCAAACAAAATTCACAAGGTCAACCAAACTCAAGGACCAATTTTAGCAGCTTGGGCGTGTCGACTGCAGCCGTTACATTCTCTGTCTTTTGTCTTGCGGTTCTCATCCTTCCGTCTGCGGAAGCATTCTGGCCAGCCTGCTCCTCCTCGAGCAAGCGCCTCCTCTTCTCCTGCAAACGTCAACATCAAAATGCGTCCAAAGATCGGTGGCAATCATCAATAGAAATCAAGCAAGATAGATAGATAGATTGATTGATTGATTGATTGATAGATTAGATAGACAGATAGGTAGATAATTAGATAGATAGACAGATAGAGAGAGAGAGAGAGGGAGAGCGCAAATGAGCACACGTGAAACTTGATGAAAACTTTGGCCATGACTGCTTTCTGTGCTGGTTGAGGATTGGCGTGTCTCGCTGCACGCGTCTCTTGATCATAATGTGAAGCAAAAACAGCGAAATGCATCCAAAGCCAAAGGCACCTCCGCTTCTTTCCTGAGACGTTGCAACTCTTCGGCTTCTTTTCTTAACCTTTCCTCTTCTTCTGCCTCTTGGCGTAACCTTTCCTCCTCTTCGAGTTCCTCGAGCCGCAACCGTTCCTCTTCCTCTTCTGCCTCTCGTCTCAGCTGCTCCTCCTCCTCCTCCACCTGCTTGCGTAAGCGCTCCTCAGCTTCAGCCTCAGCTTCAAGTCTTACCCGTTCCTCCTCTTGTCGCTCTCTCTCCTCTCTCTCTTCTCTCTGCCGTTCCTCCTCCCTCCGCACTTCCTCCTCTTCCAGTCTCCGGCGTTCCTCCCGTTGCCTCTCCTTCTCTTCGGCATGTCTTCGGCGACGTTCCTGCACTCAAGCGTATCCACAGCGTCCTCTCAAAAGACCGCCTGTGTTACTTGCCTTGAAATGCATTCACCTTTTGTTTTGAGGGTCTACGACCAAGACAAAAACAGCATCCGCTCTGTCCCGAAGATTTAGTTGTTGGCAAAAATTGAATTGAATATATTTGTCCTCTTTCTGACGCCGGCGTTCTTCTTTCTCTTCTCGGCGGCGCTGCTTCTCTGCTGCTTCCGCTGCAGCTGCCTCTGCAGCAGCCACCTAGCCAGGTACAGTTCGTCAAAAACCCATTGCCACTCAGACAACGACAGCTGAATGGCTCTTGCAGCGTGTATGAGCTTTGAATGCAAAAAAAACCGGCAATGTCCAACCAACATTGAGCCTGTTGAAGACGCTGACGTTCCATTCGTCCCGGAACGTACTCACAGTATATGTGGCATTCCTGAATCATGTCGCCTGGGAGCCATTGACTCATTGAGTTGAAACCATTTTGTTCCCACCTTCAAGTTTGAGAACGTTGTGTAACACAAAGAGACTAACACCTGGACAGTGCTTCCTTGACTCCTGGACCTCCCGAATGACTGAGTGTGTGACCATCTCCTTAGCTACCAAGAGCTTCAAACATTTCGTGCGTCTGGATGGAAAGAACGCAAAATAACGCAAATCAGCCAGCGCGCAAACAACTAGCTCAGTGGGTTTGTGGACATTGTTCAAACAAATCAGCTGCTACTGCTACTGGATGGACGTATTCCAAATCCGCAGGGCTGCAATAAGCTCGGAACACTCGAACAACGAAAAAACAAACGAAAAAAAAATGCTGCCCAGGTTCCAACATCTGTTTCGTTCAAACTTGCAGCTGCTCTTTGCATTGCTGCCGTGTCCTGTGAGCATTCTCCGCCAGCACCAACCATGTTGTTTCTGGTTGGCAATAAGTTTGTTCAAAAATTCAAAGATGTGTTTTTGTCCTTTGTGGAGAATTGGGCACTGTATAGTTTGTTTTCGTGCGCTCGGTCCGGTGCAACAAAAAGAAGGAAAATATCCACTGCATATAAGTTCAAAGAATGAACATTTGGCAATGGTTGGAACCGGGAAGGGAAGGATGCCTATACATGAATGAAAGGGTGAGATTTGTCCCTAAACTTTCAAGTATTTAAATAGATCAGATTCATCCATCTTGGTTGGATACCCGCTGTCGAGTGGTGACCCCACACCAACGAGTGGTGACCTCACGTCCTGTTTCAGCGCGCAATAAATTCGGATGTCAGGATTAAAACACACGTATCATGCCTCTCTTTGCCATCAACCTCCACCAGGCCTAAACAAAATGTGCACAAGAAGCAACAGCCAATGTCGACAAGATGCTACCGGATTGCGGTGAACAAAATTATCTTGCAATGAAGGGTGCTGTGTCCGCTGAGTTCATTATAAGCGTGATGCAGAATGCACTCTTGCCAAGCAGTCCCCGTACATAGAGGCATACGTATTGCACACGCTGTACAGTCATGCGCGTGAATATGTGCACCTCTCCCTGCCAATCTCTGCGCACCTCAGCCTGTATCTTTACCAGCAGTGCCCGGCCCATGCCGGGGCGGAAGTTTCGGAAAAATGAAACCGCTAGGAAGAAGATGGCCTGTAGGAAGATTTTTGAGATGCAGAAGCAACGAAGTGTTTAAGTTGTGAGGTGCATCTACGAATGAGCAAATGGTGATTGAGATGCCAATGAAATGGCATGAAACGATTCATGCACAACTGGCGCAAACAATCAACGAACCAATGAATCAATGAATGAGTTAAGTAATGAGTCGATGAATCAACGAACCACTGAACCAACATGATGGTGGGAATGCTAACCATGACAACTGTCCGTAACTCTAAATAAATGTCCTTTGATCATATATCTATATTACATATATATATATATATATTATATATATATACGTATAATTATAAAAAGACATATCCGTCATCAAAGGAAGTTTAGGGGGAGAAACTTCCGTGTTACGGACTTTTAGAATGTCAGGGAAAGAGTTAGTCAAAGAAAGAGTTAGCAAAGAAAGAGTTCGTCAGGGAAAGAGTTAGTGAGGGAAAGAGTTAGTCAAAGAAAGAGTTAGTCAGGGAAAATGCCAGGGAAAGAGTTAGTCAGGGAAAATGTCAGGGAAAGAGTTAGTCAAAGAAAGAGTTAGCAAAGAAAGAGTTCGTCAGGGAAAGAGTTAGTGAGGGAAAGAGTTAGTCAAAGAAAGTCAGGGAAAGAGTTAGTCAAAGAAAGAGATAGTGAGGGAAAGAGTTAGTCAAAGAAAGAGTTAGCAAAGAAACAGTTAGTCAGGGAAAGAGTTAGTCAAAGAAAGAGTTAGTCAGGGAAAGAGTTAGTCAAAGAAAGAGTTAGTGAGGGAAAGACTTAGTCAAAGAAAGAGTTAGCAAAGAAACAAGTTAGTCAGGGAAAGAGTTAGTCAAAGAAAGAGTTAGTGAGGGAAAGAGTTAGCAAAGAAACTGTTCCCTCACTGTAAATGGGATTGCAAGTGGTGCTGGTGGAGGAGTTGCCGATGGAGTTTTGGAGGAAGTCTCGCACGAAATGCGTTTTTGAGAGATAGCAGATGCACGAAAGCCTATGTTTTTCCATACAAAGTCCGTCCCCGAACCCCGATGATCTACCTCTGCGGTGCGACGGGTGCGAGACGGTCTCGTGTGTGGTCGGATCATGGTCGGATCATGGTCGGATCGGTCTCGGATCATGGTCGGATTGGTTCCGCATTGTAAATGGGGTTTCAAGTGTTTTTCGTGCATGCGCGGTCGACAGAATTCCATTGTGATTTGCAACTGTATAGGATCGTTCCCGCATTGTAAATGGGGTTGCAAGTGGTGCTGGTGGATGAGTTGCCGATGGAATTCCATTGTGATTTGCAACTCTAGGATCGTTCCCTCACTGTAAATGGGATTGCAAGTGGTGCTGGTGGAGGCGTTGCCGATGGAGTTTTGCAGAAAGTCTCGCACGAAATGCGTTTTTGAGAGATAGCAGATGAAAGAATCAAGCAGGTTTCTCGAGTTAGGTTTAGGTAAGCAATCTTTCCTGTACTTTCTCTTCCATACAATGATATATATGTTTTTCCATACAAAGTCCGTCACGAACTCGATGATCTACCTCTGCGGTTGCGACGGGTGAGCGAGACGGTCTCGTGTGTGGGGCGGATCATTCTATCCGTGATCATGCTCGGATCGGTCTCGGATCATGGTCGGATCGGTCCGATTGAAATGGGGGTTTCAAGTGTTTTGTGCATGCGCGCGTCGACAGAATTCCATTGTGATTTGGCAACTGGATAGATCGTTCCCGACATTGTTAAATTGGGGGGTGCAGTGGTGCTGCGTGATGAGTTGCCGATTGAATTCCATTGTGATTTGAAACTTAGGATGTTCCCTCACTGAAATGGGATTGCAAGTGGTGCTGGTGGAGGAGGAGTTGCCGAGGAAGTTTTGGGGAAGTCTCGCCACGAAATTGCGTGTTTGAGAGGATAGCCGATGCACGAAAGCCTAATGTTTTCCATACAAAAGTCCGTCCCAGAACCGCGATGATTACCTCGGCGGGATTTGTGTGCGACGGTTGCGAGACGGTCTCGATGACTGTGTCACCGGGGTGTGTGGTCGGATCATTCTGGATCATCTCGGACCATGGTCGGATCGGTTCCGCATGCGAAATGGATGGGTTTGGTTGCAAAAACTGTTTTTCGTGCAGGTGCGGGGTCGACAGAATTCCATTGTGATTTGCAACTCTAGGATCGTTCCCTCACTGTAAATGGGATTGCAAGTGGTGCTGGTGGAGGAGTTGCCGATGGAATTCCATTGTGATTTGCAACTGTAGGATCGTTCCCGCAATGCAAATGGCATTGCAAGTGGTGCTGGTGGAGGAGTTGCCGATGGAATTCCATTGTGCTTTGCAACTGTAGGATCGTTCCCGCAGTGTAAATGGGATTGCAAGTGTTGCTTCCTCTTTTGGCTGCATGCGTAATACTATTGTCTTTTGCAACTGGACTTCGTAAATCGTATTGGAGTGGCTGCATGAAGGCTGCGACAGTGATTTGTCAGCAGATTTTCTCCATTTTGGCGCTAGTGATTTTCCTTCTAAAAATCCTTTTAAAAAGTGCTTCAAAATCGTCTTTTTTTCGCTCTGGCGTCGAGATCCGGTTTTGGAGCTACAATTTCCGACGCCGTTGCGCGTAGTTCTATTGTGTTTTGCAACTCAGTCTCTGCAGATCGCATTGTAATGGCTGCGTCAAGGTTGCTTGGTGCCGCGGCTGCATGCGCAATACTATTGTCTTTTGCAACTGGACTTCGTAAATCGTATTGGAGTGGCTGCATGAAGGCTGCGACAGTGATTTGTCAGCAGATTTTCTCCATTTTGGCGCTAGTGATTTTCCTTCTAAAAATCCTTTTAAAAAGTGCTTCAAAATCGTCTTTTTTTCGCTCTGGCGTCGAGATCCGGTTTTGGAGCTGCAATTTCCGACCCAGTTGCGCGTAGTTCTATTGTGTTTCGCAACTCAGTCTCTGCAGATCGCATTGTGATGGCTGCGTCAAGGTTGCTTCTTGAGGCGGCTGCATGCGCAATACTATTGTCTTTTGCAGCTGGACTTCGTAAATCGTATTGGACTGGGTGCATCAAGGGTTCGACAGTGATTAGTAGTAGTGCTGGGAATTGATTAATGAAAGCTTAATAGATGACATATGAGAAGGGACGAGATGAGAAGAGATGAGCTGGGATAAGGTGAGAAGAGCTCAGATGAGATGAAGTGTGGAGTGTGAAGAGTGCAGTGTGAAGTGTGGGGCGTGAAGAGTGCAGTGTGAAGTGTGAAGTTTGGAGTGTGAAGGAAGCAGTGAGAAGTGAGAAGTGTGAAGTGTGGACTGTGAAGTGTGGAGTGTGAAGTTTGGAGTGCAAAGAGTGCAGTGTGAAGTGTGGAGTGTGAAGAGTGCAGTGTGAAGTGTACAGTGTGAAGGAAGCAGTGGGAAGTGAAAAGTGTGAAGTGTGGAGTGTGAAGTTTAAGTTTGGAGTGCGAAGAGTGAGTGTGAAGTGTGAAGTGTGAGGTTTGGAGTGTGAAGGCAGCAGTGAGAAGTGAGAAGTGTGAAGTGTGGACTGTGAAGTGTGGAGTGTGAAGTGCGAAGTGAGAAGTGTGAAGTTTGGAGTGTGAAGGAAGCAGTGAGAAGTGGTAAGTGTGGACTGTGAAGTGTGCGAAGTGAGAAGTGTGAAGTGTGAAGTTTGGAGTGTGAAGGAAGCAGTGAGAAGTGAGAAGTGTGAAGTGTGGACTGTGAAGCGGGAAGTGTGAAGTGTGGAGTGTGAAGTGCGAAGTGTGAAGTTTGGAGTGTGAAGTTTGGAGTGTGAAGGAAGCAGTGAGAAGTGAGAAGTGTGAAGTGTGGACTGTGAAGCGGGAAGTGTGAAGTGTGGAGTGTGAAGTGCGAAGTGTGAAGTTTGGAGTGTGAAGTTTGGAGTGTGAAGGAAGCAGTGAGAAGTGAGAAGTGTGAAGTGTGGACTGTGAAGTGTGAAGTGTGAAGTGTGGACTGTGAAGTGTGAAGTGTGAAGTGTGGAGTGTGAAGTGTGAAGTGTGAAGTGTGGAGTGGACTGTGAAGTGTGGACTGTGAAGTGTGGACTGTGAAGTGTGGACTGTGAAGTGTGGAGTGTGAAGTGCGAAGTGAGAAGGAAGCAGTGGGAAGTGAGAAGTGTGAACTGTGAAGTGTGAAGTGTGGAGTGTGAAGTGTGGAGAGTGAAGTTTAAGTTTGGAGTGCGAAGAGCGCAGTGTGAAGTGTGAAGTGTGAGGTTTGGAGTGTGAAGGCAGCAGTGAGAAGTGAGAAGTGTGAAGTGTGGAGTGTGAAGTGTGAAGTGTGGAGTGTGAAGTTTCGAGTGCGAAGTGTGGAGTGTGAAGTGTGAAGTTTCGAGTGCGAAGAGTGCAGTGTGAAGTGTGGAGTGCGAAGTGTGGAGTGTGAAGACTTTGCTTCGTCTCTCGCTGAAAAAAAAGCCGCTTGTCGAGGGAAGGACACGGTCGGGACAGGCTGGCGTCGAACTATAGGTCATTTATTCTTGGGAAACTTCCGCCGCCGGCTTGCCCGGGTCTATGTTATTTGTACATGTATCAAATCATATTATACCAGACCATATCATATCATATCATGTCACTTCATATGTATATAAATCTGTCTCTCTCGCATTTTCTCCGCTTGATTTATTTCTGTGCTTATCTATTTACTGTAAGTACTGTACTTATGTATTTATGTGTGTGGTCAACTTCAGCGAGTCCTTCAGGATGACGTGTGCCGCACGGCCAAAATCTCCATCTGCCACTATGCGTATCGAAGAAGTGCCGCCAAACACCACAAACAAGTACTTGACCTCCAGCCAGTGTCACGTCAAAGAGTCTTACTACATTCAAAATCAAAACGATTGAGAAACAAATGACACAGTGATCCTTAGTGCCAGTCCTGCGGTTCAGCCCAGCTAGTTGGAAATCCCCGCACTAAGATGAAGGACTCCTCGGGAATGACCTGGCATGCCACCAACGTTGCATCAAGTCTACTCAACTCAAATAATTACCTACAGTAAAACACCACAATCACGGGATACTACTATGCACAGCAGTTCCTGTCAACTCTTACTTTTCTTAAGCATACTCAAACGCATTGTATTTCTTGAGCATACTCACATGCAATGTAGGACACAAGTGTACCCGCTGTTGCGATGGACTGGAGAAAAAAAAATCACCAAACGATTCAACAAGGTCTGGACCATTCTAGGTCTATGACTCTATGACTCTTGTATTGAAATTTCATAAATTTCCTGCCAAATCATGACTTGCCGACTCTGAGGGCCTCTGGCGCAATGTGAGAAGGCTTTGCTTTCACTGCCGGGGCTGCGGGGGCTTTGGCCTCAGCCAAAGCCAAACTGCCAAACATACACATCCTACAGGCATCTAGAGGCCCTACACAGCCGAAAGCAGAACTGCGGTAGCCACCATACCCGTCGCCGAAACTGCGGACTGGTTGCATGCTGTATCTCCACCCAAAAGCGTTCACTCTCCGAAGGCGGGCGGTTTCCAGCTGCCTAACCAATGGTTGCAAAATTTGTCACTCAATGCAATATAGGAAACGATCAAGGCAAGGTCTGCACGACATGCACACGAAATCAATTTGAAGGTCGGTTCTGGCAGTCCTGCTTCTCCGCTGCGGTTCGCATGTCAGCTCCCAAGAGTGTCTTGACGGCCGCCTATTTTTGCAAGGCATTGGAGGGCCCATACCCAGTGGAGAATAAGTAAATAAACTAAATTATCTTGTCTGAACGCCACCACCCGACATGTTCTTGCGATAGGCCAAATGCATTGGCAAGGTGGTCTTGCTAAGTGGACTGCCGAAAAAAAAAGTTGGCATTGAACAGGGTCGCTGGTTAGGTCAAGCAGTTTAGATCGTTTCGCACATAAGGTTGGAAAACAAAGGTGCTCGCATGATATGTATGTAGCTGTTAGGTAGTTATAACATAATTACAAGTATTCACCTTGGCACAAGGCTGCAGAACCCATATGCATTGGGCATCATATGACAACAAAGCAGAAAAAATGTTCGTTGATGCTCGTTGTGTTGTGAGCCGCCCGCCTCGGCAGCTTCCAAAGTCTGAAAGCAAGCTATGGCAGTGACATCACCACCGCACGCGCCACCAAACACTTCAGGTTCACCGAGCAGCACCCCGAAGCGGCACAAGATCTTCTGGATACGTGCAGGTAAGCCTGATACATTGCCACAAGCCATATGTTTGTCGCCCTGGGCAGGACCTGAGAAACTTAAATTCATTGCAGAAGAACAAATATCTATGTCTATATCTATATCTATATCTATATCTATATCTATCTATTTATCCATCTATCTACCTATCTACCTATCTACAGTACCTATCTACCTATCTACCTATCTACCTATCTACCTATCTGCCTATCTACCTATCTGCCTATCTGCCTATCTGCCTATCTATCTATCTGCCTATCTGCCTATCTGCCTATCTATCTATCTATCTGTCTATCTATCTATCTACCTACCTATCTATCTGTCTATCTATCTATCTATCCATCCATCCATCCATCTATTTTGATTCCAATCCCGCACCGGCCTGCTAAAAATTGACACAATGAAACCCTTGAGAAAATAAGCGTTGGCTCAATGTTGAAAACTGGAACGAAAACGAAATGATTATGGGACCGCAGGATCAAGGAATCCCATGTTTTGGATGTCTTCCTGGAACACGAAAATGCTGCAATATCTCACATTTTGCAGGAAAACCATCTCATCTGGAATATTATCCCACCCCACATTGAAATTTGAATTGCATGCGAAACACCAGCAGCAACATTCTTGCACCGATTCAATTTCAGTGGCCTGCTCGGTCTTTCGGAACCACCCAACTTTTGGGGAAATTTCGCATGAGGACCTCACGCAAAGCAGCGTGTCACGAACTTTATCTGCTTGCAACGATAGAAATTGTTTGGGAAACCCATATATATATACTACAACCGTTGTTGAAGCCGGGTTGTCATTGCTATTGTTGAATTTTGGATACTGCATTGCTCGTCTTCCCGGGACGATGACAATCAAATCTATCACAATATTTTGACAGCCATGCGTAAAACCGTCGGCTGCCGGTGGCCAGCCTTAACAGTTTGTGGCACGGACATGGCGGCCCACGGGGAAAAATATCAGTGGCACTCAATCTAACTGCAACTTTACCGTGGGCCACCTGGCCCATGTTTTGCATCTCATCTGATGGAACCAAACACTGGATATGTAATCCAAGACGGTGCCGCCAACAATTGTTGCGTCTTCGTGGGAAATTCTTCCAAGGTCACAGGCCACTGTTTCCGATTCATTCATGTCCCATTCGAACAGTATCCAAAGCCAAATGTCTGCCAACAAACGTGGAAGAATAAATGCACAAACCCGGCCGGAAATTGAACCTCTCCCAGCAAAAGGCCCCATGACTCTATCCACTTATATACCAAATGCTGCACAATTTCCACTCAAATTTTCTTTCGGATTTTGATTTCAAGAGCTCTGCGCAATGTCTATCTGCAATTGTTTCATGTGTTGTTGGAATCTTAGGACGTCCTTCTGCCAAATGTCCAGGATAGAAGGGTATGGGCCCATACAATTTGTCCATTCGCATCGGTAAAAAAACTGTTTTTGCAAGGTTTCAACGCATTTTTGTTCACGGCCCCCGCGAGACAAACAACAAAAAATTCCACTGTTTAGAGTTTAGACAATCTAAACGCACAACACGGGAAATAAGCCCACACGTGCTGCTGGAAATGCTGTGAAAAGCAGAACGCGCTGGCTGTGGAAGAGGCCGATCCGTCTTTTTCGTTACCGATTTTACATCTGCTTTCGCTCGAGCAATTTCATATGAGGAAGCCAACCTTATTACGCACTTGTCAGCCCAACCAGCTGGCATCCACATCGTTCATCTCGATACCCTCCTTCTTAAAAGCTAACCCACCAACTGTCTCCAACCTACTTGCCAAATCCTCTTGTAACTTACTGGTACATGCTGTTCCTCAGCCGTTGTCATTTCCCGCAACAAGAACCGAAAACATTGAAAACTCATCGGACAGCATGTGTGCAGCCAGGAGGTGCTTGGCCTCACGCCATAGCTGCCATAGCATCATCATCCCATGTAACTGGCGCACCTATCACTGCAATTTGAGATCAAGGATGGGACGCCACGAAAGTTAAAACACAATGGCACTGGCAGCCAAAACCACAAACGGCACTCACGTAGCAACTTGCATGTGGAGGTCTGCACCGAACATATTGTCAAAACAAAGTTAATTTTCTTGTGGAAATAAAATGCAAAGTTTCCTGGGTGCCAATGCAGGATCCTAACGAACATTTTCCAAACAACGTTTTGTGACGGGCTTCCTGTAATCATAAACATAAAATATGAAAATGAGACAAACATATTCCGAAGAATCACGTGCAGAAATTTTGGTGGGATACGCGACAATTTTGGTCAAAATGTTCCGCAAATTGCTAAGGGTGGTCCTACTGTTCATCTTGCAGCCTTGCTCATTCGTTTCGCGCAGAAATTTTAGGGCGTCGTGGGCCACAGCTGCACAGGTCGGGCCAGAATGGCCATTCCTGGAACATATGTACGTACAGTTTTGCAGCCATTTGTGACCCATGAGCCCTCCCTGTATTTTTCTAGGATCGAAGCGACGCGGACGGGCGAAGGAACTAAAGAAACTGGTGTAGGGGTACCCTATGCAAATTGTTTATATATAAGAAATAACGCGAGAAAGCTACTAATGTTGGATGGACAATAGTAAAGCGCGTGCAATAGTTACAAATAATTTTCAGAATCTGATTTTTCAGCCCCTATTGATTTTAAATTAGGCCTTATTGATTTTGAATTACAAACATCAACCTTGGTCCAGAGCATCTGCAATAAATGTGGTTCATTCGCAATAGCTACAAATAATTTTCAGAAAATTCCCAAATTATCAGATTTTCCAATACTAAATTGTAAAGGAACTAATTGAGATTTAGTATGGATGCAGGAAAAAAAATCAGAACCAGTTACAGTTCAGCTGTTTTTTCCCTTCTTCCTTAGTGTTTTTAATTGTGGCTGAATGGTTTTTAATTGTGATTGCATGTTTTTCAAAAGCAAAAACAAAGCAAACCTTTACCACTCTCTCACATCGCACCAGAAATCCGAGTGCTGGAAAAGTAGCCGACCAGCTTGTGTGAGCTACTAATCCCCGACTGTACAGAGGTCTACCAAAAGGACGAGAACCTCAAAGACGAAACGACAAAAGACCGACGGAAGAGCGAGGAAAGGTCCTCAACCACCGAGGGATGCAGGGGGATCCGACCAACCACCGCCAACCCCGAAAAACCCAAAGCTTCGCGCAAGCCACCGCCCGCTTCACCGACCTCCAAGAAGGACAAACCACCAACCGCACCCAGCGCACGCGACCACGCACGAAATAATCGCCGCATCCCTGGAAGCACAAAAGAGCACAGCACCGACCCATCAACCGTGCACCACCTGCCCTCATACCAGAACGGGGGAGCATGCCAGTATCGAAGACTAACTGCCACAGCAATTCAATCGCAGTGATACCCGACCAACCAGCAGCACACATCGGATACCGACGCAAAGCACCAAGCCACTGAACCAGGACCTTCGAAAACGCCTTGTGAACCTTCCCCGTGTTTTTTGCCAAGATGGCAGAACCACCTGAAATGCTAAGCACAGGGGACCTAGGCGACAGGCAACTCCCATCCGTGAAAACGAATTGTCATTGTCTACCAACCGCAGTAGACTCCACCAAAAAAGGCCACTCCAAAGCACACGCATCTGCCTGCCAATCACGCAGGGACGCAGGCTCATCCCAAAGGCCATAGGCCCACGTGTGCGCCGGTAACTCCCTGTCTCCCAAGAAAGACAAAAGAGGGCCACGCAAGTCAGCAACAACCTCGCAGAACTTGGCACGATGAAGCCTAGAGTCATCCTGACCACAGAGCGGACAAGCCCTAGAGACCTCCAACCCAACAGCATGAGACAAGCCATCACGCGTATACGTCACACCAGTACACTGTACCAACAGCAAACTTTGTTCGGCCAAAGGGTACTTCATCCAAGTACGCGACAAAGCCAAGTCAATACGGGAAACCTCCCCACACTCTTTCCGATGTGCCACATTCTTTCCGACCTGTTCCATCCAAGACGACTCCAAGACCCTTTTAACTGCCTTCAAGGGCGTCTCCACAAGGTGAAAAGACCGCCCAACATCGTCCTTGACTTCCAACCCTTGAGGCAGCCAGTCCAAAGACCGCAACTGTTTGGCCAACAAGTAGGAAACACCACCATTCCCGCACCTCAGTGAAACCAAACCGCGCCGCATGCGCGCATGTGCCTGGGACAAGTCCCACCACATCAGCCGGAAAAGGCGAATCCTTTGCACAAGCAAACAGAAAGCAGGGTCAACCGTCTGCGTAGCACCCACCGAACAAGCCAACCACGGACGAACTCCCGGCTTAGCCAGGGAAGCGACCCGCCCTGCTTGAGTCCTAAGCCTTTTGAATACCGAAAAAGGCACCTGTCCCGTCTCCGCACCATGCAAACATTGAGGCCAAACACCCGAAAGAATAAGCCTACATCTTCGCCACCTGGAACACGGAACACCTCTTGCTCTAAGCAACCGTTTATGCCCGGCTGAGACCCTTTGATTCCTCTTGGTTGCTGCCCGCCTCTTGCAATAAGGCAGGTCAGCACCCAAATCAATGGCCTGCAGCTTAACCGGAATACGGTCATCACTCAAACAAGCCGCCTTCATCCTGCGCCGTCCTTCTGCCGTAGCACTCCACATCCAACACTTATGCGGGGAAATGGGCAAAGCACACTTCTCAAGGAACTGTGCAACGAAGGGAAGTGCCTCCAGAACCAGTCCAACTTGGCTGGCTAGGACCTGCCAATTATCGGCATATGTCAGCGGCATAACGTCTGCTTTGGCCTGAACCCACAAGGCGAAGAACCGACACATGCAAAACATAGCCACCACGGACAGAGGGTCACCCTCGGGCACCCCAGCTGAGCTCGTGCGAAACTCATCCTCAGCGCGGTAGACATTGCCTGCAACCAACAAATGCCGTTCCATGCCGTCCAGACCACGCAACCAAGCATCAACCAAGTTGCTGTCCACCCCACAGTGACACATAGCATCACGGACCAAAGGCCGCCGAAGCACATTGAAAGCCTTTATGATATCCAAAACCAAGCCGGAAGGAGCTTTCCCTGCATGTGCTTCTTCCGCCACAAAATCCGCAACATAGCCCCACAAGGAACGGGTGGACAACCTCGGCCCAACCGTGGGCAATGCAAAGGACTGACAGAGAGCAAGGAGTTGCCTTGTGCGCAGACGCGACCAAACCCTGTACACCACCGAAGCAACCGAAATCGGCCTGACCGAGTTCCATTCGGGAATCCCGTCCTCTTTGCGAAGCAACACCACCAACCATTGCTGAAGCTGCTTGGGCCAAGCGCCTCCCTTTTCCACATGGTTGAAAATCCTCAACAGCGGCAAAAGCGCCGTTTCTGGCAGCCTTCTCAGCTCCGACACCGACCAGCCACAAGTACCGCGCATCGAAGCAGTTTTTGCCCGACCGGGCGCGGCCTTCCAATCATCAAAAGTGACGTCACCAAGCGACTGTTCAGGAACCTGAGGGAGAGAGTGCAACAAGGGCCTCCAGGGGTGACCTTGCTCCAGGCCTGCTTCCCTCTGCCAGTAAGCACCCCAACCTTGAAAGAAGGCCCCAGCCCAGACGTTAGGGTCAAGCGAAACTTGAACCCTCTCAAGGCCGGCAGCTTCCCTCCGTGAAAGCCGAGTGTCGACCCCGATAGCATCACCCTGGACTTCCAAAACCTTGCAATCCGCGCTCCCACATAGCTCGTCACCAACCTTCACAGCAGAAACGTTGCGAACATGGATCCATTGCTTTCCATCCGCCATCCACCGCTGCGGCTTCAATGGGAGCTGTGTTCGAACTCTCATCTCCAAAACCGGCGGCTGCTGCTGCTCCCGAAGCAACCGGAAAGGAAAACTACCCCCGTGCGTTGCCCAAGATGCATCCATCTGCTCTCGAGAAGCCTCACGCTTTGCACCCCAACATTTCCTGGACACCTTGCGGGCATGCTCCGAAGCCTCACGATACAACGCTTCCAAAACCTCAACACAAGGCACAAACTGCCGGGCAAAGCCGACAACACCACAAGCCCAGCAGGTGAACCTAGGCCGGCCAGGCGAGCCAACGATAGCCTGCCAAATGCACTGAACCTCATCCTGGAAACACCTGGGCCTGGCAGACCGGCTCCCAGCTTTGAGTTTCCTCAACAAGGCCTCAATCTGTCGAACCAACTTTTGCCACCGCCTAGCCTCAAGCGCAACTGAAGGCAGCTCAAGCCGGAAGTCTCCAGGGCGCCCAGAATGAAACCTAGGAGGGGCCCATGTTCGCACCACGGGCTCCGTAAGCCGACCCCGACCTGACCAAGCAGGCCCACTAACATCTACCGCACCATCAACAGAAGACAGGAGAATAGCTTCAGCAATCTCCGACCAGTTGGCAAAGGCCTCATCTTCCTGCCCATTCCTCAATGGTTGATCCACTGCCGAATGCCATCTGTCCACTCCGACCTCATTCGAGAGGCGCTCTAGCTTGGCCGTGTCCAAGGCCATTTGATCCAGAAGCCTCGGCAAAACCCACTTAAGCACCCGAGGATTAGAAGCCGGAAGATCAAACTCCGTAACCAAAACTGCATGCGTAGGAAGATCTTCATGATAATCCACGAAAGACGACCTAAGAGCAAAAACCATCAAGGGGCTCACCACACAGAAAGTGTGTCTGGTAGCCCGTTTGCACGTAGGTTCCGGAACACCTCCACGTCGCTCGGCATCAAAAAGAGCGGCATCAACCCAACCATCGGCCAGCAAAGCTTTCATATCGTCAAAGGCCGTCAAAGAGGTATTGAAATCCCCCGCCAAAATGGCTGGGCCCGAAACAGACCGCACCAGTTGCACACCAGCACGAATTAACTCAGAGTTCTCCAAATACCTGCGAGAAGTCAAAGGCGCATTAGGCCACAGATAAAGCGTGACCATAGAAATAGCAAGCTCACCAACTTGCACTACCCCCATGTGAATCCGGCTGGACCCCCAGAAACGACCATCCACAACCGGGGACTCGAAACTATACAAAGGAAAACGAGAGACCATCCCGCAACCGCGGGATAAGCCCCGAAAAGACCCCAAAACATCACCCACTTCGAACTTGTCGGGGACGGGCCGACACAGCCCCACAGAAAGACCGACCGACCTGAATTCGGCAGAAATAGCCCGCACCGCACGTTTCGTGTGACTCGTTTCAGAACACAAAACGACATCGCTATCCCAAGCCGACATGACGGCAGATTTCCCAAGGAGCTGCGTGGGGTTAGTCGCGCCCACCCTCAACCTCAGGGGTGTCCCTGGCTGTCAACCTTCCTAACTTTCGGCGACTGTTCAAATCAAATCCAAAAAAAATACCTTGTTCAAAAAAGTTGTTTTCTTTATTAAAATCCTTTTAAAACATTGCAAAAAACAGGTCCACAAAGGGTACCCCCTTGCAGGTCCTTGCATTTGCAATTAAAAACTGGAATTAGCACTTCCAATAAGAAACAACCTTCCTGGTTGTAGCAGACTTTTTTTTTCTTCTTCCTTAGTGTTTTTTAATTGTGATTGCATGTTTTTCAAAAGCAAAAACAAAGCAAACCTTTACCAAATCAAAAGAAATAGATTGTTCAAAAAAATTGTTTTCTTTACCAGTAGTACCGCACAAGGCGGCGGCGGAAGTTTCAGAATAGGAAACCTATAGGAGACGTTGGTTGTTGTGAATCACGGATGGCAGAGCGAATCCACTGATTGACCGAAAGGTGGTTGGAGTTGTGTTTGCTGGAATGGTTGCAATGGTTGCAGTGGTCACCTCACCCACAAATGCTGGATGTAGTGTGCTGTACTGCAACTGTAGTTGTAGTTGTAGCGTAGTGGAGTTGTAGTTGTGGTGTAATGTAATTAGCGTAGTGTAGTTGCAGTCATATAGTTGTAACTAGTTGTTTTGTAGTTGTAGTTGTAGTAGTTGTAGTTGTAGTTGTAGTTGTTGTTGTTGTTGTAGCTGTAGTTGTTGTGTGGTCGTAGTTGTCGTGTAGTATCGTTGTAGTAGTAGTAGTAGTAGTTGTTGTTGTTGTTGTAGTTGTTGTAGTTGTAGTTGTTGTTCTTCCTGTTGTTGTTGTAGTTGTTGTTGTTGTTGTAGTTGTAGTTGCAGTTGTTGTTGTTGTAGCTGTAGCTGTTGTAGTTGTTGTTCTAGTTGTAGTTGTTGTGTAGTTGTAGTTGTTGTGTAGGTGTAGTTGTAGTTGTTGTTGTAGTTGTAGTTGTTGTTGTTGTGTAGTTGTGTAGTTGTGTAGTTGTAGTTGTAGTAGTTGTTGTTGCTGTTGTTGTAGTTGTAGTTGTAGTTCTAGTTGTAGTTGTAGTTGCTGTGTAGTTGTTGTAGTTGTAGTTGTTGTAGTTGTAGTTGTGGTTGTAGTTGTAGTTGTTGTTGTTGTTGTTGCTGTTGCTGTTGTCGTCGAAGTTAGGGTAGTTAAGTTAGTGAAGTTAGTTAAGTTAGTCAAGTCAGTTAACTTAATCAGTGTCTACTTTTTCGACATCTTCACGTCAAAAAAGGCTCAAAACCCTCAGTTTTTTTACACTTTTGACTTCGAAATGTGCTTCGCGCCACAACGGCGTGCACTTTTTCGACACTTTTTCGACATCTGAACCTGCAAAAGTGGTCCGAGACCATCAGTTTTTAACACTCTTCACTTGGAAATGTGCTTCGCGCCACAACGGCGTGCACTTTTTCGACATCTCAACTTCCAAAAGTGGTCCGGACCTGGTGTGCTTTGTACATTTTGACTTGGAAATGTGCTTCGCGCCACAACAGCGTGCACTTTTTCGACATCTCAACTTCCAAAAGTGGTCCGACGCTGAGGTGTTTTGTACCTTTTCACTTCGAAATGTGTTTCGCGCCACAACGGCGTTCACTTTTTCGGCATTGCAACTTCCAAAAGTGGTCCGGAGCTGAGGTGTTTTGTACATTTTGATTTGCAAATGTGCTTCGCGCCACAACAGCGTGCAACTTTTCATCTCTCATCTGGCGAGCTGGCTCCGCACCCGCCGCTTTAGCGAGCCTACTTTTCGACCCTCCTGAGCCACAAATCCTTGGAAAAACACAGTGTTTCGCGACTTTCCTACCTTTTCGCGCATCTGCATCTTCTTTCTTCTGACTTTTTCTCTTCTGATCTTCTCACCTCTGCGTTTCAACAGTCCATATTGTCGGAAGTTTCACTTCTAAATTTCCTTCGATTAAAATCCCTTTAAAAAACTGCAAAAAACGGGTCCACAAAGGGTACCCCCCTTGCAGGTCCTTGCATTTGCAATTAAAAACTGGAATTAGCACTTGCAACAAAGAACAACCTTCCTGGCTCTAGCAGACATTTTTTCTTTTTTTCCTTGGTGTTTGTTAATTGTGGCTCAATTTTTTTAATTGTGATTGCATGTTTTTCAAAAGCAAAAACAAAGCAAACCTTTACCAAATCAAAAGAAATACCTTGTTCAAAAAAATTGTTTTCTTTATTAAAATCCTTTTTAAAACATTGCAAAAAACAGGTCCACAAAGGGTACCCCCTTGCAGGCCCTTGCATTTGCAATTAAAAACTGGAATTAGCACTTGCAATAAGAAACAACCTTCGTGGCTCTAGCAGGATTTTTCGCTTTCTTCCTATCAGAATCCAACGAAGATCCCATCGGAGCCCATCAGAAAAGAGAGGATTTGTCAAACCTTACAGAAGCCTTTAGGGAAGAGTTTGGATTTTCGATTTACTATTGCCAAGCAGACCCCCCCCTTTAAAAAAAGTAAATAAAATAAAATTTAGGGGAGGACCCCCCTTTACTATTGTCGACGTAACATTAATTGGACGAAAACATGCTCCAACCTTCAAACATGTTCAAACAACGTTTTTTTGCGGCAAAGAATTGACCGGAGAACCCATATGTAGATGCAAATGTTTATGCACATGCATTTGGATATGGATATGGATGTGTTCATGTATGTGTATATACACAAATGTATACATATACATATACAAATATGTATATGCACATTTAAACACGGGTGTGGATTTAGATGTGGATGTATATCTATATTCTTGCGTGTGCGTGCATGTGAATGTCCATGTGTAAATGTAAGTGCATTTGAATATACATCTGCATGTGCATGTGCATGTGTATGTGTATGTGTATGTGTGTGTGTGTATGCATGCATGCATGTATATGTGTATGCATGTGTGTGATGTGTATGATGTGTGTGCATGTGTGTGCATGTGTGTGCATGTGTGTGTGCATGTGTGTGCATGTGTGTGCGCATGTGTGTGCATGTGTGCATGTGTGTCCATGTGTATGCATGTGTACGCATGTGTGTGCATGTGTGTGCATGTGTATGTATTTTTGTGAGCACGCATGTGTATGTGTATGAATATGAGTATGAGCGCGTCTATGTGGAAGAAGAAGTGGATCTGTATGTGTATGTGTGTGTGTATGCGTGTGCGTATGCATGTGCGTGTGTGTGTGCATATGTGTCTGTGTATGTGCATGTGTATGTGCATGTCCATCTGTATGTGTATGCGTGCATGTGGTTGATCTTGCAAATATGTTGGTGTCTAAGTATGTAGGTTTGTGGGTAAGTACGCATGTCAATTTGTCCACGTTGCCATCAATGTTGCACCTCTTTGGTGCCTGGGACTCGGCCAAAGAGAGCGCAGCACTGAGCTATGCCGTACTGACCGTGACAAATTGCCTGCAAGAAACAAAAAGGTTAAGGCTGGCACAAACATCGAAACCCCAAAGGAGAAATGTTTAAACGAAAAACGTCAGTAAAACCTATGCACAGATCAAACTGCGTGATCAACAATTAGAATTTTTAAAAGAAAGGTTACAATCTTAGCGAACCTCAAGGTGTTGGATGCTTTCAACACCCCCCCACATGCAATCAAACTATCCCAAGTTTCCACTCAAACCTTCCCAAGTTCCCAAACTCGCGACAAAACATCCTCCAACCGGTTTGGCCAAACAATCAGCAGGGCCGCCATTCTCGAAGAATTGTCCATGCAGCTGTCCAGCTCAGGTCGACTTGCTGACAAACCATCAGGTGGCAACGGACAATCCGGGAGAAAGCGCGTATCGTCTATATGCGATTTTGTAGGCATGTGAATGTGTAGGCACGTCGATACGTAGGTATATGACTTTGTAAGCTTGAAGCTTGGTTGGTATCTCCGCATGAAAGTATGTGGATGTGTAAGCATGCAGGTACAGCTTCAGCGGGGGGAAGGGAACGTTCGCCCGGAACAAAGCGGCAAAAGTCGGTTCCCCACTCTTGTAATTTGCACCAAATCGTCCACATGAACCGTTTCGATCCAACATGGCCGCAACATCGGCTCCACTTGGGATCAACTTCGGGCAGCAAGGCCCCAATTTCGGCCCAATTTTGTTACCAGTTTGCCCCTAGGTTGGTGTATGGAAGTTGGCGCTGATCGCTCCACAAATTCATTAGCACACACAAAGAATAAAAACCAAGAAACAAAAAATGTACACCTCAAGGGGGGGGAGGATTTTTGGTTTTGTTTTGTTTTCGTTCTTCCTATTGTTTTTACAATGTCTCCGCGAACCGCGAACCGAATCGAACCGCAAGAACCGAACCGACATGACCCGACAAAAAATGATTTAGTTTGTTTTTGGAATTCTTCGTTTTTTTGGTTCGTTGTTTCCTGTAAAGAGCCGGTAAAATATAAAAAATGGTGGGGCCTAACTCTTTGCCAGTTTTGACCCCTTACATCTGCAAATTTTGTTTTGAGTTGTTTATTGCTTGTTTTGGGAATGCAGGTACCGGGAGAACAAAATAATTTTGGCAAGCCATTGATGTCGCGGATCTCCCGGATCACGGCCCTTCGATTCCGGCGGGTTTCTGGAGGACCCAGGCCAAAATTATACCAGAACCCCTTTTTGCTCTTGTTTCTAACTGACCATCCGAATTATAAATAGTAGATATGTTTTTAAATATAAATATATATATATATATTTCGACACTCTATCTGCCATTTTTTCTCATATATACTCCTGACGCTCTATGTGATATTTTTTACGCCTCCTGTGTAGCATCCGTTCTAGGTTCTGGCCTTGTGTTTTTTGAAATTTTGTAATGGCCTTCGCTATTATTCGCTATTCTTTTCGCCACCGTTTAATGGCCTTCGCAAATATTCGCAATTCCGTTGCGTATGTTCGAATTTCATTCGTTCCTCTACTGCTTGTAGGGTTTTCTGTTTCTTATCCCCTTCACT